TTGCCCGCGCTCTCATCATCCGCGCTCTCTTCCTCCTCCTCGTCATCCTCGGGCTCCGACTCGGACATGGACTTCTTCTGACTTATCCACATCTTCACGTGCTCGACCATAGCACGAGTGTCCCAACTGAGACCGGGGTTCTCAGGGCGGACTTTCTTCCCAACCGCGATCACGGCCTTCGTCATGGCGTCCGCCATAATCCTTCCAAAAGGAGGGGACGACTTATACTGACGAATCGCCGCGACCTGGGCCTCGCGCACGGCCTCAGCCTTCGCCACGCCATGAAGTCGAACCAAGTCCTCCTTCTCCTTCTGGAAGCCCTCGCGGACCTCCTTCAACTTTCCTTCGTAGTCTTCCGCCAACATCTTCCTCTCTTCAGCAAACTGAGCCTGCAGCTGCGTCCTGATGGCGTCGCGCTCCTCAGCTCGGACGCGCTCCTTCGCAGTCTCGACAGCAGTCTCAAGGCGGCTCTGCCACACGCCCAACTCCGTCAAGGCCTTGTTGGCCTCGTTGGTGGCTACCTCGGCACGGGTCTCCGCGCCAGCAAGCTTCCCTTCCAACTGCACAATGCGAGACTCGCCCGCCTTCAATCTTGTGTGAGTGGAAGTGCGGTCCTGCTGAGCGCGGAAGGTCGCCAGCAAACCCTACACGAACAGCACCCAGCAACTTAGAAAAAACGGGGAGTCAATGGAAAGAAAAACAAAAAGATTGTATGCCAGAACAGAACCTTACCGCCCAATGAATTTGAGCCAAGTCCAGCAAAGGATCCGACTTCTCGAACCGCGGAGGGATGCTCAGCACGGGTCCAACCGCCCGCAGAGCAGCCTGCGCGGTTTGACTATTACACGCAGCGCCAGTATGCAGCCGCACGTTGCGGTAATAATCAACCCCGGGGACGCCTCCCAACATGTCGGAGAGCTTCCGCTGCCCACTAGCCCCAGAGCCGCTAGGAGCCATCACCGTTTCTGGGCGGGGGGAGTTATCCACCTGCCCCGCCGGATCGGCAACGACCAAAGGCTGCTGGCGCGCCTCCTGCACGCGCGTCTCCGGCACTGACGTGATCCGCTCCTTCGGGTCCATAACCCGCGCAGCCTTCTGCGGGTGCCCACCAGCCGGCTCCTTCTCCGACGCCGATTCCTTTCGCTTCCCGCCACTCGCGGGAGCACTGCTGGGTTGCCCTCGGTCCTTCCTCTTAGAACCGCCAGCTGGCGCGTTACTACTCTGCGCCCCCTCCTTCTGCTTCTTCTTCCCCTTCCGCGATGCGCGAGGCGCCCTCGCAACAGCGTCCACCGACATCATGCTCGCGAGGTCGGCAAAATCGACGCCTGCAACAAAATATCGTAAGAAACCTGTTAATTATGACAGAATACAAAGGGAAAAGAATATAACTAACCATCAGCAAAAAGCTCTTGCAAGATGGCCTCGCGAACTCCGCGCGTGTACAGATTCATCTTCTGATTCAAACAGGCTTGATATTCCCGATCAAGCCCATCATACGAGTCAACGCGCGACTCGAACTTCTTGGTACAACCCTTCTTCCACACCGTGGGCTCATCCACGCGCTCACTCGCCCACTCCCCCGCCACTGGCTTGACGTAGAAGAAGCGCTCAAACCATGTCTTCTTCAGCTTGGGAGAACCATACACGAACCCGTCAGGCCTGTTATCGCGCCGCTTTATGGACAGGCAGTCGCTTGTCTTACTGGGCTCCTTGATCTTGTAGAACTGGCGGAACAGCCCATACGTGGGCTGGATGTTGAGCCGCTTACAGGCAAGGCGCAGACACGAGGCGTGCATAATAATAGAGGGGGAAAGGCGTCCAACTGAGCAGTCGAGACGCCTGTATAAGGCGCACAACAATGGGTCGATGGGAAACTTGAAGCCCATCACCCAGTACTCAGTATAAACCCCGAACCACCCTGGGGGGCAATTGCCAACCGTGCTCCTAACGGAAGGCACCGCGTACTCCCAATGCGGAGGCAAGCCCAACCCGCGCACAATATCCTCGACGTCTTCGCGCGTGTAAATCGAAGAATGGTCAGGCCCCCGCAGCAAGTTATCATGCGGAGCCGGCTGATCGCCCCACATCTCTGCCCAATCCAAGACGGTGTAGACCGCGTCCACGCAACGGGGACCAAGGCGGCTCATTGCCTCGGTCACGCGCACCACGTTGACGGGCTCAGCGATGATCGGCGCGGATTGTGTATCGGAATCTTCGCGCTCGGAATCTTCGCGCTCGGCCGCACCCGCAGTACCAGCTCCCCCGGACCCCCCGTCGCGCCCGCGTCGGATTATTAAGACGCCCTGGGCCCGGGTACTCGGACCGGTATCTCCATCTACCTCTACCTCTGTCTCTTCAAGGAGAAAATCGGAATCCGAGTCGACTCGCCCCGACGGCGTCAACGGAACCCCGCCGTCCCCGGACACACCACCGTCCTCATCGCCGGAGTTCGCCAATTCCAGCGACGGATCAGAAGAAACACGGGAAAGGGGGGAAACATTACCTTCTTCGTCGTGTACGATCTCAACCTCGCCGGCGTTGGTGTTGATGTTGTCCATGATAGCAAGAAACAGCAACAAGAACAAGGATCGAAGGCTCAAGATTGTAAAAGAAGAAGAAGAATTACGGCGATGAACCAGAACACGAAAGAGAACAGAGCAGAATTCAGATGTGAAGAATGAAGCAGAATGAATCCCAACCCACACAACGGGTCGATACTTATAATTATTAGAGGGAAGTTGAAGGGTTAAAGTAACCTCGAAAATCGCAACCGTCAGACGTTTCGAATTTCGAAATTCGCCCGCCCAAACGGACGAACCAGGTAAGGACACGTGGACACCTATTCGGAGTAGGCTCTAGCCGCTGACATAACTAGTTACGCACAGCGCCTGGGGGGCATGGCACACCCGCGAGGAAAAAGAAAAAAAATCCCGCGAAGATCGCGCACGCATCTTAAGTGAATCAGAATCCCACGACCGGCGCGCACTATCAGACGACTACAACTGATATCCTAACGCGGCTACGGAACGGCCAGGCGCGCACAAAGAATCCCAAGAACCGCGCCCCGGGCCCGAGTCAATCAAGCAAAGACCTAAACAGAGGGCGTCCTCAGAACACCCTCTGATGGGGGGCAATTGTTGGGCATGTGACTCGGGCTTAATCGCCAAGGCAAGACGCGCTGAGATAGGGCGCGCACGAAGGCTCGTAGGCGCGCGAGTAGAGAGAAATGACGCGCGCGTACTCAGAGTCCTCCACAAGCTGCGCGCGAGTGGAAAGGGGTTAAGGCGCGGGAGCCCCGACGCGCCGCGAGCCACAAAGCTGCAAGAAGCCTCTCCGCACACTTCCCAAGGGCCGGCCGCATTGGGATCAGAGACATAGTCGTAGGTACACCCCAGACAGGTCCTAGGTAGGGGGATGGCCTAAATCCCTGACATGTCAATGGTCACATCAGGGGTCAAAGTCCCATCATGTAATCCACCCGTTCACCCACCTCCATGTAGCCTATAAATATGGCATTTACTCCGGTGGGTGAAGGGGATCGCATTTTTCACCATTCTCTCTCTACAAGAACTACTTCTCTTTCTAATCTCTCTCTTACTCACTCTCTCTGATTCTGATTCCTCCGATCAAACCCGGCTCTCACGTTTCTTCTCGACCCGAACTCTCATTCGAACCTCACTCCTACACTCAGTTAGGTTCAAACAGGTACGAACTATAAAGGGGTAATTAGCATAAATGTAACAAACCTTTGCACTTAGTACAAAATGGTCACAAACCTTTAATTTGTAACAATACGGTAACAAAACTTTGAAATTGTATAAAATGGTCACCGCTATTTAATTTGTCACCGTTTTGTTTTAAATGAAAAGATTTGTTACCGAATCGTTACAAATTTAATGTTTGTCATGTTTTGAGGTCGGGTAGTTTGTTCGTTAAGTATATGACACTAACCACTTGAACGACATATAAGATGTCAGCTCATGTGTTCATCGACATATTTGCTTTGCCAAATAAGAATGCCCTCAGTTGACCTTTCAATTTCGATACCAATCTATCAAAAACAAATTTCGATACCAAGAAAGTAGACAGAGTTTTTTCAACTAAAAAGCAGTCTGGAACCCGTTTGTGAGCCATTGAATTCTCTCATTGTCATCCTTTACGACGATCATATCATTCACATACATTAACAAAACCACCATACAACTAGAGCGAATTATAACGGTGATTGAACGTTCAAACTTTTGAACTTAATTTGTACAAAACGGTCACCAAAAGTCTAATTTGCAACGACACGGTAACAAAAGTTTGAACTGGTATGAAATGGTCACACTGTTTAATTTGTGACCGTTTTGTTCTAAGTAAAAAGTTTTGTTATCAAATGGTTACAAATTAAAGGTTTGTGACTGTTTTGTACTAAGTGCAAAGTTTTGTGACCATTTATGCTAATTACCCGACTATGAAGCCAAATCAACTCCTGTATACGGACTGAAACGAGACTCTTATCTTACCCACCGTCAGACTGTTGTTTTTTGTTTGTTTTTAACTTGTGGGTAATTTGCAGAGTAGGCGAAACCCAAGAAGGAGAAGAAGAAGAAACAAGGAGGCAGAGTTAAAAACAGAGTGGAGATTCTACTACCCATAAAAGAATAAGAATAGAGAAGAAAGCAAGCAAAAAGGTAAATCCACCGGCTCAGCTGAGCTGCGTAGAAATGAATTAAGAATAAAAAAGAAAAGTAGAACAGAAAATTGTTTAAAGAATTATCTGATCTGGTCTCGTGGGCTCTGTTTTCTGATTTGCTGTTGTTGTTTGTTGCCTGGGTTTCTTTTACCCTTTCTTCCTGATTTATTATTGAATTCAAACACATGAGAAAGGGTAGAGAGAGAGAGAGGTGGAGGTGGAGAGGTGGTGGTGGGTCCCCTGTAAGGTGATGAGAGGAGTGGTGGGAAGGAGGGAAGGGGGAAGAAGAAGAGACTTCAACATCAAGACAGTAGTGAATTGGAAAGAGAGCAGCAGAGAGAGAGAGAGAGAGAGAGATGAAAGTAAAAGACAGCTAGCAATGAAGGTTGAGGCTCACCTACCATTTTCCTTTGCCTTTCCCCTCTCTCTCTCTAGTGTGCACAATTCCATTCTCCTTTTTAGCCCTCTCTTCTCTTCTCTCTCCCCCTCCTTCCCATAGCTCAAACCCTCCCCAACACCCAAAAACAAACATCAAACACCCTCCAAAACCCTTCTTCTTCAGTTTCCACTCTTCTTCAGTCTTCACTACCTCTACTCCTCTAAGGTACTGTTCACCCTTCTCCCCTGCTCCTGTTTCTGTTCCTTTTCCCTACTCTGTTCTGCAACTTGGTTTTTTTCTTTGGGTCTCAATTTGATATAATTGGAGGGAAATTGTGCACCTTGGGTTGCGTGAATTCCCCTGTTTCCCCAACTCCCACCCCCAAAGCTCTCATCTTTGCTGGGGCAGGGGAACTTCCTGTTTCCACTTCCTTTCAATTTTCCTGTTTGTGGTTTCTCTGCATGTTGTGCAACTCGAACCTTTTCAGGTGCATTTCCCTCTGCATTTCGTTTTAACCAACTGCACAAAAAGAGTCCACTGTGCCCTCTGCTCTGTTTCTTATCCTTATCCCTCCCCACTGAATTAATTTGGCAGTGTCGGCACGCCGACGAGGAAACCCATGAGTTTCTCTCTTCATTTTTACCATTTAATTAATAATAGTGCCCTAAGGAAGTGTTTCTTTCCCGTGAAACCGAAACCAATTTGGACGCACCCCCTCTCTTTCTCCGCCCTCTTCTTTCCGTTTCAGGAGCAGAGAAATTTGAAGTTTGAACGCAACCACCAACCCTCATTCCATTCAGTTTCGTCCCTGCATTTTCTCTTCTTTCTGACGGCATTGTAAAGGTTATTGCTTGCTGCATTCATCTTCTACTAGGCTCTTATGCTGCTTTTCTCTCCTTCTACTTCCTTCCATGCAGGAATCTTTCAACTAAACAGTCACCCATTCGCAATTCCCACCGAGCTTTCAAGGTTTTACAGTACCAGAGTGACTGAAGCAGCAAATAAAGGTAACTGCTTTACGCAATTGGGGATTTTTTTTCGGGAACTGTTTTTTTTTATATTTCCCTTAGTCGGCAAAATTTTCTCCAATTACCTTAAGCTGGACGCAACGAAATTCACTACTTTTCCTGTTTTCCATCACTATTTATTACATTCAGAACTTCCCCAACTCACGGTTTCTCCCCTGATTTTCCTTCGTTTTCTTTTCTCCTCCTACCCAGAAAAAGCGACGACCTTTCGTTGAACAATGGTTGGACCGACACCGTCATCTCTGAATTTCATGGACGAGCTCGACTGCGGCAGCTTCTTCGACCAAATCGACGACCTCATCGACTTCCCCGCCGACGACATCGACGCCGTCTTCACCTCCTGTCCCGACGACAACGACGGCAGACCCATCTCCGCCGCAACGACCGACGTCGACGAGCCATTCCCGCCGCCCAGCGTTTGGGCCGCCCATCCGGGTTCGGCTTCCGACCTCTCCGCTGAGCTGTCCGTTCCGGTACATTTCAACCCTACACGTACTCCGTTTTCAATTCCTCAATTATCAAACCAAACCCTTTTATCTGCCGTTGGATTTCTTCATTATGACGTCACCTGCATGCTCCGATTTGGTGCTTAGTGCAGTAATTGATTGCCTTCTCTTCCGCGCTAAAAACTGGTTTGGATTTTAGCATTACGCGTCCAAAAATACAAACTTCAAATTTCGAAAATTCTGCCATTTTCCTCCTTTTCATAACGACAAGGGGCATATTAGTCAAAAACTGTGGGAGTGTGTGGGTCATCGTGGGGACTGGTGGATATTTTAGTAAAACTCCAACTTGCCTGTCGGCGATGAGGTGGATTGCTATTTAAACAAAGCTTGTTTGTTGGCCTTATTATAATGTGACCATGTTATGTTACGTTTTTTAATATCAATTTGTTAGTGCTTAGTCGTGGATGTCACGTGGGCTAGTCATGTGGTTTGCTACGAATTATTGTCACATCCCTCTTAATCATTGCATCCTCAAGACTAAGATTCAGATCCATAATTCAAAATTGTAATTGGGAAGAGCCATGTGCCAACGCGCTTGGTGGTTGTCTACTGACATTACAGTTAACAGTAGCAGTAGGTGTTTGTAGTTTAGTTTGTACTCACTAGTGGATGTTTGTCCTCTTTACCTAATCTCTTGAAGGTCATCAATGGCTGATCATTTTTTGGTTGGTTCTGATTAGGGATTTGTTTGTGTTTGATTGTTTGCAGTACGAGGACATTGTGCAGCTGGAATGGCTATCCACCTTTGTGGAGGATTCCTTCTCCGGAGGAAGCCTGACCATGAACAAGAACGAGTGTTCGCTTCTCGACAAGGATTTTTCCACGTCGTCAGCATCGACGACATTGTCCCAACAACAGCAGTTCGAGATGTCGAGCCCTGTGTCGGTTCTCGAGAGCAGCAGCTCGTGCTCGGGGGAGCAGAAGCAGGCTGCGCCACCTCTTAGCCCGGAGGCGAATGTGGGTGGGGGTGGGAGGTGTGGGCGTGCTCGTAGCAAGCGTCCGCGTCCAGCTACCTTCACTCCTAGGCCGGCAATGCAGCAGCTCATCGTCTCCCCTACCTCATCAGTCACCGAGACAACAACCCCTATGTGCCCTGTCAATCCACTCAAGCTGGCTCATGATTCGGACAGCCATGCTGAGTCGCGGCTGCTCATCAAGATCCCCAAGCACCTCATCAAATCCGAGCACAAGAACAAGAAGAAGAAGCAGAAGAAGGCTGAGGCTGCTGCTGTTCCTCCTCCTCCTCCTCCGGCCTTGGGTCTGGAAGAGCAGAACAACGAGTCCGGGCCACAGCAGCAGCAGCAGCAGCAGGGGGTGAGGAAATGCATGCATTGCGAGGTGACCAAGACGCCACAATGGAGGGCAGGGCCGATGGGACCAAAGACCCTATGCAATGCTTGTGGCGTGAGGTTCAAGTCGGGCAGGCTTTTCCCCGAGTACCGGCCAGCTGCCAGCCCGACCTTTGTTCCAGCCTTGCACTCCAACTCCCACAAGAAGGTGGTCGAGATGAGAACCAAGACTCCGGTCGAAATGTTTGGCATGGCTGCAGGAGATACTTCCATGGTTCCTGACTCGCCCGAGGTGCTGATTCCGAATCACAGCAACCCTGCCATGGATTACATGTGAGAGGCAGAGAGGATCGATCCTCGGGTTTTAGTAGTGTCTTCGATCAGTCAGGTTGCAGTAAGGGGAAGTTCATTGCTTTGTTCATTGGTTCTTTGTACAGTGGATGGAATGTGGGGAAGATAGGAAGAGAGAGCATAGATGACCAAATATTTGTAGGTAAGTAGGGAGGACAGTAAAAGAGGCAGAGGAGGGCCCAAAAAAGAGAAGGGTAGTGAGAGACAGAGATCAGATCACATTATTGTAGGTTTCTCTTATAAGTTAGGTCCTTAATTAAGGTTATATCTTAGGTGTTGAGAAGAAGAAGATGATCAGCAGGGGGACTATGTTTTGCTTTTCTTTCATCATTTTTTTTTTTGTGCTTACTTGGAGTCGATTCTTTTTGTAGTTCAGTTTGGTAGCTGGATATTTCCGAGCTCTCAGTCTCAGTAATGGGTTTTGGAGAAGTTTTCTCTGTTTTCTGTAATCAAATGATGGCTGATCTTCTTCATCCCATTTCTCTTGTCTTCCATATTCAATTATTCATCCACAGAAGGTGGGTTTTGGTTTCTTTGTGGAGTTGCCAGAGCATGTGGATCCTACTGATCGTCGGTGCAGAGTTAAAGATGGTTGGGAAGTCATGGAAGCAAAGGCTTAGTAAAGGAGGAGGGTAGGCCATGTGAGATGGAGTTTTAGTGGTGGTGGCTTGGAGTTTTCAATCTCAGGCTGAGTTGGCGACTGTGACTTGTCCATTTCTTGTTGGTTTTGATTGCTGAATTGGGTGGGTTGGGCCATCACCATGCAAAGGGTGGACCGGGTGGTTGACAAGATTAGCCAGCAGCAGTACAGCAAACCTAATGATTTTCGAGGGGAAATGAAACCGGTTGTTAGAATCCCATCAAGTCAAAAGCATAATCATAATCATAGGGCTATAACTAACTATTGGGTCGTGAAAATCAAACAAGTTTGGTTTGAAATAGCTGAGCGAAACGGCGGAGGTAAGGAGTTTGGTTCAGTAGTACTGTGGATATCTCAGCATTCCATGTTTTTTAACTAGACGAAACAGATTTGATATTTGTTGTGACTACTTTCATGTTTATCAACAAGAACATTGCTTAGAATGACGTACTATGATTAAAGGCTTTGTTTCTCTTTTTAACTTGAGGAAAACTTGATCTATAAGGAACATAAACAACTATTAGTTAGGAGGAGTATATGGATGAGCTTGACCTAGAAATAAAATGCAATCCAATCAAATGGCCAAAAGCTCGCTTAGACTTGAGGCTGAAACCATAATCATATTTGCATTTGGAGTAGAGAGAGAGAGAGAGAGAGAGAGAGAGAGAGAGAGAGAGAGAGAGAGAGCTTTCTTTTGCTATGGTTAGGCTTTGGCAATGTGTCTCAATCAATTAATTACACGCAATTTCCCCCCACAACATCTCTCTCACAAAGGGAGGGGTCACTATTGGCAAACCAAATGAGTTGAAGTGTTACACCCTAATCATCTCAAGGAAGTTTTACTTTTCTCTTCTTTCCCCCTCATTTTCTTGGTATTTGATTGCTTTCAACCGTTTAAAGTTTTGATTTACAATAATTATGATCCGATCAATAAATGAAATTTCGATATGATTATGAGGGGTGACATTCTTTCAAAATACAAATGTGTGCTTCATTCATTATTATAGTTTTGATTTGTTGAAAATAACATAGGAAATATACCGAACAAGAAATAAAAAAGAGATGCTATAAATGGGAAAATGCAATGCATATGTATACGATATGGTACGAGAGAATTAGGTGTCCATTCTTTCAACTAAGTGCTTAAAAGGCTTCTTGGAACCAAAACTAATTAATTTGATGGGAACCTTTGAGCTCATGTTCCCTATATAGGACAGAAAAAACAATGAAAATGACCCTCGCAAAAAGGAATTCAATTGAAATAAACTGGCAGACAACTCCATATATACACCCATTTCAGTTGGTTTTATCAATGCTCTTTTCCACAACTATAAACATTATTATATTTTGAGTACATACACTGTATTAGCCATAACTATTAAGCAGCGGGAAATTATAGTTACAGCTATTGAAATACAAATTATTAGCCATAACTATTATTGCGGGTCAAAATTTGGCTAACAACCCATTTGAAACAACGTTAACAACAATCAATTTTAAAAACTTTGAACAAAATCCATCCTAGAAACAAATAGGGAAAAATGATAGGGGTCTAATATATAAAAAACAAATTGGATATTCATAAAAAATCGTGGACAAACGGAGGAATGGTGTAGAAAACATATTAATATTTTTTTTAAATCTATAACATGCTTAATGGAGACGGCCAGAGAAATAAAAAAAATAAAAAAAGCCCAATTCCGAAACTTGCGGGGAATCCAGGAAGGCTTAAGTGGAATAGGTTCTTTTCTTAAACTGCTTTAATATATTTTAAGATTAAGATAAGATAAGATTAAGATTTAAAATGTAGCTGTCACCAGATAGATTCCAAGACTCCTGGGCACTTTCCCAAGAATCACTAACACGAAATCTTTCGATCATTCTTCATAGTCCACGGCCTCTCGAAGTCACCCCGTCGCCGCTCCTCGCGAAATGGTGGAAGACAAAGTTATTGTGGTTGCATCTTCTGCTCCACTGGTCGACAGTTTGCTGTACAATGCTAAGGCGGAAGACGTCCTCTACTTGCTCCCCGAGCTACCTTGCGAGCTTGGAGCTACTACGATTTCGTGCAGTTCGTCAGAGTTCAATGCCAACCGATGGAAATAATCTTGATGGTGAAAGCACCTCGAGATGAATTTTTATATCAGAGGCTCGATTGGGACGATTGGGCGGAGGCTCGGAATGTGTTCCAACTGGTGTTCTAACTGACCGCCGGCGACGAGATAGAGGAGGACCAGTCCGATGGTACGGGAGAATCTTCATCGCCGCCCTCTTCTTCATCACCGCCCCAGCCGCAGCCCCCGCCCCCTTCTTCACCATCCACCTCTTTCCCGTCGTCGTCCTCTTCTTCTTCCTCTTCCCAAGAAGATTACATGTGGAAAATTTCAACAGAGCATCGAGATGACGATGTGTATGCTTTGATGAACGACTGGAGCGATGTTGCGGCTTCAATTGAGGTGGGAATTTTACTGGTTTAGTTTTTTTTTCCTTTTTGGGTCTCGTCTCGTGTTCTTGATACTGGTGTGGTTTAACAGGAGGAGAGTTTTCCATACAGTCCCAATTCCTCCACAGGTCATAATTGACGACTCTGATCCGGATGCTGTGGCTTCAATCGAGGTGGGAACTTTACTGGTTTAGTTTTTTCCCCTTTTGGGTCTCGTCTCGTGATCTTGGGTTAAGATCAGGTGACTAGGGGGGGTCCCTTAGTCACTTGCCTAAGTCAATCTCAGCCTTTCAAGCTCATTAAAATCCAATGGCTCCAATCAATTCAATTTAATAAGGGCAATATAGTAACTGCATGATTTATGATTATTTTATTTTTTTAATAATTAATAACTAAAAGAAAAGCTGGCGCTTACCGTACTCCCCGCCGCAGCCCGACCAGAATTGCGCCGTCCTCCCGCCGTGCAAGGATTTTGCGGCGACCACTTTTTTGTTGCATATCTCATCCATTTTTAGTCCCAGTGTGTGTGTGTGAGTGAGTGAGAGAGAGAGAGAGAGAGAGAGAGAGAGATTTTGGTGCGTCAGAGAGAGAGATTTTGTACGATTAGTATGCTTTGTACTGCTTGTCGGTAATGTTTGTACGCTTTGTTATTTTGTAATGTTTGTCGGGTTTTTTGTAATGCTTGTAAACTTTGTTATTTTTGTGCACCATGTTTATCATTTTTGTCAACCATGTTTGTAATGTTTTTTATCTCTAAAAAACAACCTGATTGGGTTTTGGATAAAACTCCTCTATATAGGAATGGAGCATCCAAATTCAACCCGGGTGTTTTTTCTAGTTCGTATGGATTGTCGGTCTAGTTTGTCATTTTTGTCAACCATGTTCGTAATGTTTGTATGTCTAAAAAATAACCGGGTTGGCTTTGAGACGGAGCCCTCTATATAGGGATGAAGCCTCCAAAGTCAACCCGGGTGTTTTTCTAGTTTGTATGAATTTTTGGTCTAGTTTGTCATTTTTGCCCACCATGTTTGTATGTCTAAAAAACACCCGGGTTGACTTTGGGAAGAAACCCCTCTATATAGGGATGAAGCCTCCAAAGTCAACCCGGGTGTTTTTCTTTTTGTATGGTTTGTATTGTTTGTCGGTCTAGTTTGTATTGTTTGTACAGTTCATACGTTTGTAATGTTTGTAAATCTGTTTGTATGTTTTGTCGCTCTAGTTTGTGTTGTTCGTATGTTTGTATGGTTTGTACTGATTGTAAATCCGGTTTGTATACTTCGTAATTTTCCATAATACCCAAACTACCCCTGTCATTAATTAAAAAGCCCTTGTCACTTTTCTAACCATTAAATTGAAGTGCCCAGATCTAATGGCTAGGAGGGGTTTAATCAAATGACTAAGGACCCCCTTAGTCATGGGATCCGCTCTCCGTGATGGCGTGATCTTGATACTGCTGCGGTTTAACAGGAGGAGAGTTTCCATACCGTCCCAATTCCTCCACAGGTCATAATTGAAAACTCTGATCCGGATGCAACAATGGTGGATATCATCTTTAGGGATCAGATTGGGGACCTTCATGACACTGTACGGGATCATTTTCTTGCTGTTTTATGTCATTGTTAACTCCATTCATCCATCCATTGCCAATGCTTGCCACCCACTTGCTTTCTCTTAATCGATTGTGGTCCATTTTTGTGGTTGGTGTCTATTTCTGCAGATGAATGCGCTAAAGAACCTGGGCCTTAATGTCGACAAAGCTAATGACTTCCTAGATGCTTCTGGGAAACACAACAGATTTTACATAACTGAAAAGTAAGGTCAATATATGTTCTTCTTTCTATGTTTAAAGTTAGGATTCTGTGTCTGTTCTGGAAAAACTTGATGATTTGATCAAGTTTTCAGTCTAGCATAAATTCCACCTTGATTCTGAATCTGGAAACTGTTGTCTTTTATATGTACTAGAATCAATACCCACGGCTACGCCGCGGGACATTTAGGCACAATTGACATCTTCAAAAGTAGTATATTTATAAAGAAAATAATTAGAAATTATAAAGCAAGTAATTTTTTGTTCAATAGATTTCTTGTTATGCAAGACAATCTACAATCATCTCATAATGTTATTTACAAAACATAAGTTCAAAAGAGTTACCTTAAAGTCCATCTAAACTATTCATTAGCTTTGTAAGTTCTATATCAAACCTATCCCAAAGAGGCAAATACATACTTGTTTACAGATGAGAATCATTATTTCGTACATAAAATCAATCCATATCCCTTTTGATAAAATTCGAGCAATCCTTTTACAAAAGAGAAGATGTTATCAATTCATCATCTATCCATACCCAACAAAACTAAAGTAATTTTATAAATATGTAGGAGGAACTCACTATAGTTCTCTTCATCCTAAAGAAAATTACAATAGTGGAAGTAACCGAATAAGAGGTGAACTCTCAATCTGTCACTATGGTATTAAACGAAATCTTAGTCATTTATATAAATCAATGCTTAATGAAGAGAACCAGCTCTTCCCTTCTAGAGTCCACAAAATAACACAACTCTTAGCAGATGAATCAAACTAACTAAAAGATCATAGCAAATACTGAAAGTCTAACCCACATATTATCTTAATTTAAACACTCCTGGTTCAGTTAGACGTTAGTCCAACAGCAGGAAAAATAATATACTCCTCCTTCTCACTTGTACTCATTCGTCAGCAAGAGCAAGCCCAGCAGCAGCTATAGTGACAACATTAGGATCTATATCTCCAACACTGCCTCCTCTCTCCTCTCTGCAATGGTACACAATTAAAATGAGATTAAAATAGAACAACATGACACAATTAATGTCCAACAGGAAATTCAAAGGGACAAAGAAACTATACCCGAGTTAAGGACACATGGTGCAGCCTGTCCACCATTGTGAAAGATTTCCCTGACATTAGCTTCGCTCTCTCCAAACCACATCGTCAAGAGCTCAATTAGTTTGCTTGGCTACTAAGTTCATTTACGAAGATACATTTGATAATGATGAACACTTCCTCGCTAGTTGCTGCAAACAAAATCAAAGCAAGGCCTAACTTTAAAACTGCACCAAATTCAAACTCCATGCAGTAGTCTTCTTCCCAACTCTCATGAACTCAGGCAGAACCGTTTTAGAGTGCTCAGACTGCTTACCTCTTGTCGTTCTCCTTCAAAAGGCATTGGGATTGATTGATGAATGAATCTTCTCCTTTAATGAAAAATAGTTGGCACGTCATAGAGCTTCTCAAATTAGATAAATGAAGCTAACTAAACAGCAAATAACATTTGCAATCTCGCCAAAAGTGCAAGCAAGACCAACTATATATGTTCAGCGAGCAGTTTAAAGTAAGCATACCCTAGGTTTGTACACATAATCAGCAAGACAAAAAGGATCAACAGGTAAAAACCTGCAAGGGCCAAATGACAAATGGTTTCCCCAGCCAAAATTCCATTCAGTTCTCTTTGTTACCCAACATTAGCCCTTGACTGCCGATGTCGTCTCGACGCCTTCAAATGGCCGCAACTGCCCGCTACATATGTTGAGAGAGTGAATCTACAATTAAAAATGAATCTACTCTGCATGCCAAATGGAATTGGCAAAGAAGGAAGCAGAGTGAATCAAACTGGTAAAATTGGAGAGAAAGCCCCTCAAGGAAAGGAAGGAAAAAACTCAAAGCAAGTGCAACCAAACCAAAATGGAAACCATCAAATATGAAATACCTGTTGTGTCGATCATGTATGCCTCTTTATCTCTCGCTTGAGTTGTTTTGGAGCTGCGGTTAAAAGAGATTCACGCATACCACTTTTCTGTGGATAGAGAAGTTGCTTAGAACAGCTGCATTATAAATCAAACTGGTAAAATTGGAGAAAAGATCCCAAAAGCTAACATTAAGGGAAGGAATGAAAAACTCAAAGCAAGTGCAACCAAACCAAAATGGAAACTATCAAACATGAAATACCTACTCATGTCGATCATGTCTTCCTCTTTATCTCTCGCTTGAGTTGCTTTGGAGCTGCAATTAGAGAGTAGACTGCTGCCAACGGCTTATCTGTTACAAAGCAAACATAAATAACTCAAATTGTTAGTAGCATGAAGCAGTCGACAACCCTTTCCAGCAAGTGAAGTAAATTAGCTGACCTTGAACAATTTCAAGAGAGCTATTAAAAGCATCTTTTTTCTTAATCGGCACATGTTGGATGACTTGAACCTGAAACCGACATAACAACAATAGAAAGCAAAAAGAAGCTACAAAATTGGGATAAAGAAAAAACCCTAATAAACCTTGAATTTCATATGGACACCAAAGCAAAAATAGGTTAAAGAAGTGCACCTGCCGTTGATTGTGGGCACATATTGTTTTCCTATTGTTCGATTGTTGTTCATCCACCCTCTCTGCGACCATTCCTCCTAACCTTTCAAATGTTTTAATCAAAAGTCAAATTAAAACAACACATCAACAATAACTGAGCTGAATATTAACACAACAATCACATACTTACCGATTTCATCAAATTGAAACTCAAGAACTTCTAATTTTCTTTCATAAATCATGAAAGGTTAATGCACCAAGCAAGTTTGTGTTTCCCTATTGGCTTTTGTTGAGAAAACATGCATGGTGAAGAATGTGCAGGGAGAACACTGTAGAGCAGATTCACAGCAGTAAGAAGTTTGTGTTTCCCTATTCTTGAAAAATCGGTACATAAGCATATAGCACATCCTTGTTTAGAAAATTGATCAAATAGTGAACTGGATTCAGATTAGGCAAACACACAATAAATGAAAATGTTGGAATGAAAGTTACAGTAGAACCCAAAAGCTCATATTTTAACCATTTGCAGCAACCAGTTTCATTAAACTCCCAAGCACTTCCAAGTATTTACCAATTTACAGCTTTAATTCAGAACTTGCTCATGAATCTAAGAACCAACTAACAAAAAAAAAAAAAAAAAAGCAGCAACGTGAACCAATTGCCCCTATCTAAAGAGTTTAAGCAATTACCAAGACTGAAATGGAGCTCAACAAAGCTGAATCATAGGTCCAAGGTTGCAGCAAAGTGGAAGAGGCAAATGAAAGAACGTTGAGAAAGAATTCATATCATTAACATCATTTGGAGAGAATGTAGAAAACCTGAATCTTAATCCTCCTCCACCAAGTAGCCAAAGATGAGAATAGATTGAGATGAGAGGAGTAAACTTGCATCAGCAACAGCAAGTACCCAGATTACAGTAGCTGCAAAATTATCTCATATCGAAAGCTTTGTATTTTCCATGAAACTCAACAGTTACAAAACTCAAAGAAATAAAAAGCTACGAAATAATCACATCATTCCAAAGAGAGCTGCTTACAACATGATGCTCTCAAATTCTGTCGATTCAGCTTGGGTTTTTCAAATCACCCCCATAAGTATTCTCAGCCTACATACCTGTTGGTGAACATAGCCTCTTCAGCATTAGTCAGGCACTATCTGCATCTGATCCTAACAATTCATTGCTTATTGATCAAATTCTGCAAAAAACTTTTCTCTATCATAGCAAGCTATTGCCTTCCAGAACTTTTCTTCAAAGAGCTACACAAAGAGATGGGGTGTTATCTGTAGGCAGAAACACATTTGAGGCAACGTGGCAGCGGGCAAGGGAGAAGAAGCACAGAACCGAGAAAATAGAGAACCAAAAAGTCAAGAAAGAGAAGGTCATAAAGAAGACCTACCAGGCGCAGCCGTCGTCGTTCCTTGTTCATTACCGTCGTCATCCCCAACCTTGTTTTCCTCTCTGTTTTCAAACTCGACTTCGTCTGAGTGTTCAACACAGAACCTGTTCCTAGGACGACAACGTCGTGTTCATCGGTCAAAGCTTACCTAAACAGGGGATCTATGGAAATGAGAGAGCGATGTAGCCAGAAGGATTCAGACGAAACTGGGTTCTAGAAAGGTACCTTAGAAGCCGACCACCATTATCGTTTTCGTTGCTCGTTCTTCGATCCAAAGATGGGATTGGGCTTGGGAAAGAGGAATGGCGGCTTCGGATCTTGGCGTGCCGAAGCTAGTTGCAGAGCCGATTGCCCCATTGAAAACCACTTTGGGATGGGGAGATTTGGAGAATGGTGGTGAGAGGATAGAGTCTTAGAGGCAGAATTGACGGGTGAATGGACGTGATCTAGCAGAGGGAATCAGTGGCAATCAATTGTACCTTAATCAACCATTGAGCAAGGCTAGGGCTGTACGATTCATGGCTGGTGGCGTGTGCCAACAGATGCGGTGGCGTGTGTGAGGAAAGACGAAGACCAGAAAACTTGGGAAAGCTCAACGGCATGGCCGCCTGCCGCCTGCCGGGACTGAGGGAAGGTAAGGCAACGTTGGGCCGGGCAACGCCTCCCATGGAAGGCACTCTTTCACTCATCGCCACAAAACGACAGAAAGTGAAACAGTAAACAAAACATTGGGAGAAAAAGCGTACCTAGCTTTTATTTATTAATTAAAGAATATATGGATTTGTAGTCTTGGCAATGGTTGGTAGGTGGTCAAAGTGTTCGCACCTAGGCTAGAGGGTGCTGAATGATAGGTTGACAAGTAGAAGATCCTAGCCGCTTTGTTCTGACCGAGCTTCATTGCATCTCTCTTTACAGGAGCACCGGCAGAAAAGTAGAAGATCCAGAGATGCTTGCAGCAATTCGATTGACAATGCACGGGAAGGATGCCAATGTTAATGCTTTTTTCTTGACACCGTTATTGAGAATGGATGGAAAAGAAAAAAAAATGCACATTTTCATTGACTTTGATGATATACAATGTCCGATTTTTTATATGGGACATTTCTCTCTGGGCATATTCCACTTGTGTCTTCTTAGCCAGCCACGCCCACCTAACCAACTCCCATCCAACCTCCAAAACCAACTGTTCGTCAAATCGTCCGTAACATTTCTTTTCTCTCCATCGCCTTCTCCCTCCGACCAATTCTGTTCCACCGCCGCCGGTGGCATCCCATCTCATTCCCCGTTCATCCGATGGCTGGTAAACTCTTCTTCTTGTCGATGTAATGCAAGTTTCCTGAACGGTTTCTCTTTTGCTTTCACTCTTCCAAGTTACTGAGTGTCGTTATTGGTCACTCGTTCCCCGCTCCCCCATTTGATTTGCTGCCGATTCTCAGTGTCGAGCTATGGCACTTCTCTTGATTAGTTTCTCCTTTCTCCCTCCTGTACTTGCTTTCTTTTGTTATTGATTTTGGCCGCTTTAGCTAGTAGAGTTGGGTATGATTTGGATTTGGTAGCTCGAGTTTCTTTTGATTGGAGGATTGGATACATCGAGTCAGTTGACCTCATGCTTTGGGACTGTGGGGGGCAGTGGTCTGGATTATGTTTGCACATAGCTGCATCTCCAATGGTGCAAATGGAGGGAATTGCAAGCTGAGGTGGCAGCCATGTGCAATTGAAAAAGTGAATGGCATTGATGCAAGACCACTTTCAAGGGATGAAAATTTGCACACCATGTAAATCTGACATGCAATTGCAAGTGGGTCCTTTGTTTGTTTTTGTTCTTCTTTTCCCAACCATTTGTGTGGTATTAAAATGTAAGTGGGACCCAGAAGTGCAATTGCATTGGAATGACATTGATGTAGCTAGTATGAAATTGATGAGTGAAGTAATTGCTAGAGTTGCTTAGGTGGCAGTAGGGACCACACTTGAAAGTGAAGAAAGATTGCATTGTTGGAGATGCTCTTAATGTGTCTCTGTCACCCTCCAAGTCTTGAAGTGATTCAATTTCCATTATTGGATGTGGAATGTGAATCTAGTTTGCTCTCTCTTTCAGTGTCTGGGAAACTTTTATATGGTTGTCTTTGGAGAAATGGCCTCATAATATTTAACGATGAGTCCATGCATTGTTCTAGGAGCAGCAGAAGTGGCTGAATAGGTTTTGCATTTACCGTTTTCATTTTCTCAAGATTCAGAAGAGGCTCATGGTTTCTGTCTTTCTGATAATATTTCCACAATTCTTATGCAGCAGCAATGTCAACGAAGGTTATCCAAAATGTTTTTGTAGCACAGAATAGGCAGATTGCAACCCACTACCAAAGGGACAGTTCTGCCCCAAATACCCGCAAATCGCTTCCCTTTCACGGAGGGAAGTGGGCATGGACTGGCATATCTTCCACGCACACGCACACGCACACATGGTCAAAATTCCACAGTGGTTTTGCTAACCGAAGACCTAGTTTCTGCAATGGTTCGTTCTGTTCTAGACTTTTATTTCCCAGGTTGATGTCAAATAAAAGGATTGCATTTAAAACCTCCCCTAGAGTGCATGACAGTTCCATTCTCATATTTGTCCTTCTCAATTTGCTGTGCCTGTTTATTAATTACAGCTATTTCTGTTCTATGGGTTTATGCTCTTAGGACGGCACACCATCTATGATTTGTTACTTCCCAGGTGTGTTCTCTTGAGCTCTTACACAGTCGTTTTCAAATTCTGTTGCAGCTGCTGCAACCACTGCTGTTCCTTCTCTTGACAAAGTGGACTTCTTGAAACTCCAAAATGGCAGGTAACAACTTTATATATGTGCAAGGCTCTATATAATCCTTGGTCCCTTCTTTTTCAACTCTCCTTATTTCCTCATATTTTTAGCTCTGTAATTAGGATGTTATCAAGCCACATGGCTGCTACTTCCTTAGTTATTATGCAGTCGGTAGCTTTTCACCATAGCAGCAGAATAGGAACTTTCTTGAGACTTTTCCCACTTTTGTCTTTGTTTGCTCCCCCACCTTCTCTCTGTCTGTATCTTTTTTCTCCCTCTCTCTGTTTATCTATTGTGGCCTTTTATTTGGGTAACCACCCTTGGAGCAGTGCAGTTGCTCCGATTAATACCTCCTGGTACCATATGCTATGAGAACGGTTCTAGGTAGGGAATGGCTCTTTACATCAATTGGGTGCTACAGCTTTTTGCTACTTTTTGAAATCCAATTGATGGTTCTCCAATATTGTCAAGTTATCCTCTGATGGCTTATATTTGTTAACAAATAAAACTGCAACTTATGTTCATTTTTACTTTTGTTGTATGTAGTGATATCCGAGGTGTGGCTGTTCCTGGCGTGGAGGGTGAACCTATTAGTCTCACTGAACCAGTCACAGAAGCAATAGCTGCTGCATTTGCTGCATGGTTGTGCGAGAAGAAAAAAGCTGATGCAACCAAACCTTTAAGAGTTTCCATTGGTCATGATTCCCGCATTTCAGCCCAGAAATTACAGGTATTAAATATGCTGAAATTTGTCTGTATTTGATGTATTTGCTGAGAACTAGTTTGGTATTACATGTGCTTGGCCATTCATGATCCATAGGCTTCAGTCCTCTGGAACTTACACAACTGAAAATCCCAATGCTAATCCCTTGTCACTTTTGTAATTCTATTGTCCCATCTTGTGGTAGCTAAGGAATGTTTGATTTTGCTGAACAAGGACATCTCAGTTGTTTAGGAAATGTTTCCGACAAATTATGTTAACATGTTCCATGAATGACATTGGCAATAAGGAGATGGGCGAATTTGACTGTTGCCATGCTTTTGAATATTTTGGTTTTGGGCCTAATCATACTAAATTAAGAATGGTAGTAAGGAGCTGATGCTTGAAATTTCCAGGATGCAGTTTCTCGAGGCATTACTGGTGCAGGATTGGAAGTAATTCAATATGGGTGAGTTGATCAGCTTCACCTTGCTATGATTGGAAAATATAATTTGGTTTTGATAAGAGGTCATTTGAACCCTTTGATTCTTACAATGTAAGCCAAAAGAGCTCAAATAAACTGTACTGTCTGAAATTCATGTTGTTTTTTGGAATGTCATATTATATCACATGTCACAAACGGCTAATGATTTTAAATTTGGTGTGGCTTTTTTTGGGGAAAGAACTAATAGTTTTTTCAAGTGCGAAGGTGGTGAGGGAATCAACCTTTTCTTAAAGTGTAGCTTTATCCTAGCTAGAAGGTCGTTTTGGCTTTTGCTCTCGCAATGGTCATGTTAGGTGGATATGTTTTTGAACAAATTTTAACTGCCAAAGGATTAGTTACGCATGCTTCTGCACTAGCATTGTCCTTTTTACTTGTTTCTAACTTGGTGAATATCCCTGCTAGATTGGCATCTACACCAGCAATGTTTAATAGCACAATGACAGAAGACAAAGCATTTTTCTGTCCAGTTGACGGAGCCATAATGATAACAGGTCATTACAAGAGTCATGTTCTCTTACCTTTGGGCTGTTCTGGTGTTGGTAGCTTTTTACTGTAATGGCTACTATGTATCTTCTTCGTCTGACCTTTCGGATGGATTTGGGTTTCTTTTCTTTTATCCAAGCTCGGGGTGTCTTGTAATGATGACATGTTCATTTCGTTTGATTTTTATTTTTTGCATATAGCTAGTCATCTTCCTTTCAACAGGAATGGGTTCAAATTTTTCACTAATGCTGGAGGGCTTGGGAAGCCTGACATTAAAGACATATTAGATCGAGCAGCAGAAATATATAAAAGCTTTACTGATGAAAGTTTGTCTCAGTCAAAGAAAAGAGCCTCTGAATCCGTGAAGAAAGCTGATTACATGACTGTTTATTCCTCTGACCTGGTGAATGCTGTCCGCAAAGCTGCTGGAAATATAGGTAGTAGCTGAATAAAATTTGTATCGATATAAAATGCATTTGTTTGTTAATATAAGCAGTCCCTAACATGAAACATGATTGCTCTATGCCTCCATTGTTCTCTCAACTAGACATTTTTGTTGGTTCCGTGATTCTATCAGTTCAATGACAAAATAAAAGATCTTTTTTCTAACTACCAATGATATACATTTCTTTGTTTTGCCGATATATTCATAGAGAAGCCATTGGAGGGGTTCCACATTGTTGTTGATGCTGGAAATGGTGCAGGAGGATTCTTTGCTGTAAGTTCTCTTCACAATCTTACAAGATAATTCAGCAAGGGTCTTCATTGCCAGTGTTATGGAGAAGATTTAGCTTCTGCAACAACAGATACCAGCTGTTTGTTAGGCTAACAAATAGTTCCATCATTCAGTGTCAGAGCTTTGAGAATATCACTGGCGTTCTAAGAGTTTTCTTTCAATTCATTGCATTGCTGTGTCACCAAGTACACTCCCTCTTAGAGCTGTCTGCTGTTTTGCTTCTATGGTTTTGGATATTCCCAGTTAATTAGTTTCAGTTTTTGTTTGCTTTTATCAGGCAAAAGTTCTTGAGCCTCTTGGGGCAATAACTTCTGGGAGTCAGTTCTTAGAGCCGGATGGTATATATTTATAAATGAAGAGAAACAATTTATGGGTTTGAGTTTGAATATTTAGTAACGATATTCTTGGATCAGGTATGTTCCCTAATCATATTCCCAACCCCGAGGATAAGGCAGCAATGAAAGCTATCACCAAAGCAGTCCTTGATAACAAAGCTGATTTGGGGATCATCTTTGACACAGATGTTGACAGGTGAATGCTGAGTTTTTCCTATCCTGTCTATCAGCATGGTAAATGGCATGGTGATAATCAATTTTATGCTCTGATTTGCTTCCTTTCAGATCTGCTGCCGTGGACTCTACTGGACGCGAGTTGAACCGCAATCGTTTAATTGCGCTGATGTCTGCTATTGTTCTGGAGGAGGTACACATTTTTTTATTTCCATTTGTTTTCAATTAAGTGTGACTTTGTCTCTTATGGAAATCCCTTCTCGTCGTGATTTTTATTTCGAGTTTGGTTGTTCTGTGTCCAGCATCCAGGAACTACTATTGTTACTGACAGTGTAACTTCTGACAGTGTAACTTCTCGGTAAAGCCAACATGATGAAAAGGTTCAGATTTACCTTGTTAATTTAAAAGAGAAGTTCACGCCTTCAGAAATCTCTTTTAGGTGGAAAGCACCATCGGTTCAAAAGAGGCTACAAAAATGTGATTGATGAAGCCATTCGTCTGGTAAACACTTTCTCATACTCTTATTCAGATTTTGTTAAAACTGAGATCAGCAATAGAGGAAACAATCTTGTATCATGTTCATGACAGATACAATGATACAAACCTGCCTTGGCAGTTGAAATGAGAAACCAATAAGCTGCATGGACATTTATCTTGTAGCTTGAAATTAACTAGCGTGCGACAATAGTTGGTGCTTTTGAAAATGCATATAGTTGAATAGCTTTTTTCTTCTAGCAATCTAGTTTCCCAAACAAGCTTTTATCAGACTCTTCATACTCACCTTTTGGCCTTTAGTTGTCGTCTTTAACTCCAAATACTATCACTTCATTTGTGTGCAGAATTGAACATGGTCTTCTCATGTTACTTGTGGATCTTTAGTAAAACATATTGTGTTTCGATTCTCATTCTTCGTTTGCCATCCTCTGCCAAAATGCTCACAGAACTCTGTTGGTGAGGAGTCGCATCTTGCTATCGAAACCAGTGGACATGGAGCTCTCAAGGAAAACCACTGGCTTGATGATGGTGCATATCTCATGGTAGTAGGCTGAACTCTGTTACTTTTTATACGAGATGACTTCTTGCATGGAATGTTCAATTTCCTATCTGCTTATCAACAGGTCAAACTTCTAAACAAACTTGCCTCGGCCAGAGCATCCGGAAATGGGGGTGGCAGCAAAGTTTTGACTGACCTGGTTGAAAGCCTAGAGGAACCTGGATTTGCAGTGGAACTAAGACTGAAAATCAATCAGAATCATCCAGATCTTAAAGGAAGGTATATCTCTAGATCAAATTCCATTGCAATGTGTGGGTTTGCTTGTATTGTTTCGGATTTATGCTAAATAGTAGCGAAAAATCCAGACCATTCCGGGAGTATGGGGAGGCAGTTCTGAAGCACTTGGAGGACTATGTAGTTTCTGACCCTAAGCTTCAGAAAGCTCCAGTCAACTATGAAGGGGTGAGTCAATCCTAGAATAGTAGCTGCCAAATTTTGTACAGTTGCTGTGACGTAGAGTTTTATCGCTCCAGTTAACTCTTCATGTTTATCCACAGCTCCGAGTTTCTGGTTATGGTGGATGGTTCCTTCTCAGGCTCTCTCTTCATGATCCTGTCCTTCCTCTCAATATTGAGGTTACATAAGTTGTTCCTTTCAATGTTCTTTGCATAATCAGGCAGGGAGTCTTGAACTCCGATGTAACTGAAAGTGAAATGTATTGCAGGGACCAACCGACGCTGATGCTGTAAACCTGGGACTTGCTGTGGCTTCTGCCGTGAAGGAGTTCCCTGCTCTGGACACATCTGTGCTGGACAAATTCGTCCAAGCTTCGTAAGTTGCAGGGCTGTTTTCGGTTTCTGGTGCTCGTGACCCACTTTTTTGCTTCTGAGATGGCGGACGAGAAGTTGCGTTTCGCTTGTATATGAACTGCGAAGATGGAATAAACACAAAGATACCAACATAATCTTTTAATGGTTTCACCAATTTATGTAAGAACGGACCTTAATTTTGCTTCTGCATTGTCCTCCCTTATCCTCCATTCTCAACCTTTATCTGCTTTGGAGTCGGGCAGGTTTTACTGTCAAGTAGAAATGTCGCTGCAAAACTGGCCATGAGGTAGGAACTAGGAAATGCCGAACCAATCCAGTTAAAACCTATTTAACCCAAAATCTATTCGACCCTTTGGAGCTCTTACAGAACTATCATTTTTGTACCTAAACATTTTGTACCTTAAACCATACTACCTAGACTTTTACATATTAACGGAAAAATTCACATCTGATGTACAATTTAGTATCTAAACTGTTGTGGTTCTTACATTTTAGTAACATACTTTCAGAATCTTATAATCTGGTCCAGAAATTAATTCCAACTATTATTTTTCCGATCGTTTAGGCTTACCCTATCTGAACCTTGCCCAAGGCTAGATAAATAATCGAAATACCCCTGTAAACCAGATCTCCAAGAATGTCATTGAGTTCCAACAAACCATCTATCTACAAACCCACATGAGTCCAGCATCCAACCCCAACACATTTGCAACCTCTGGTGCCCATGTTCAGGCCATCACAATCAGGTTGCAGTTGCTGAAGCATTTTACGATCACGATACGAGCTACATTATGCAACATATCTACATTTAGACAAGTTTCCATTCCAACGAACGAGTGTACAGATGACGTATATACAAAAAGAGAAGCTGCTGAAAAGGATCCTTCCTACTTTAAACATTTTTTTGCTTACCTACACATATTTGCGTGTTATGTAGTTGTAAGGAGATGCCAAGTGCTAGTTCGTTGTGGAGTTTAGCAGCTTCATCATGAAGTTGAATTGGACATCTGGGGAAGCTCTAGGGTGAGGCCAGTTTGCACCCTCAGGTACCCTGATGGACTTGAAACCTCCCCCTCTGTACAGTTTGATAGCACCAGGATTCCGCAGATCACAGTGAAGGGCAACCGCCCGGCAGCCCCAAGTCTTGGCCAATGCCTCCGCCTTCGCTACAAGCTGTTTTCCTATCCCCTTGCGCCGGTACCTCTCTCTAACAGCTACATTTGATATGTACGCAATTCCTGTCCTGTCACAGGCACATTGAGCAGTAAGTCGAGTGTATTTGATTGGGAGATTGATTACTAAATGGAGGCACCACTTGGTGTCGAGTAGTCGAATCAAATGAATACACAGGAAATACTGGAAGCAAGAAGTCTCACCTTCTTCGACGCACTGGGCCTTTTCTAGGAAGGTAATCGGCAACAGTGTCCAAAGTCAAGATCCCAGCAACATATCCTTTGTTGAGAGTGAACTTGGCATCAAACCCTCCAATCTTGATATCCTCACTACCAATGTACAAGGATTGATCAATGGAGCTTCCAACAACAGCCACAAGACAGATTCTCTTGCAACCAGAAGGCACGGAGAAGCCAAATAGCATTCCAACTAGCCTATCCAGTCTCAGCACGAAATCCAGTGGGAAGGAGTAATCAGGGAAGAAGGAGCTGCAGTGAGTCTCTGCCACTTCCCAACAGTCCTCTATCCTTGCCTCCCTCACCACTATCTCTGGAGACAGAGTTGGGAACAACTCCACCATTTGACTGGCTCTGCATATTCCTGCAGTTTGGTGACCAGAACCGAACCCAGTGACATTCCACACCCGCCCAAAAACAAACCAATAATATAGAATGTGCTAAAACAAGAATATAACTTTTGCTCCCAACCTATTGAACTCAACAACAATACATAACAATTACAGCAAGGCCAGCCCTAAAAGAACTATGTACAAGGAACTGGGGTTTGATAGACATAAGCATCCGAAAGTCATATGCTCTCAACATTGAACACAAAAACGGCCAGATTATCCAAACGCATGGAATTACAGATATATACACAATACAAAGGTAAAGCAAGTAAACAACAATGGCAATTGGCAAGCTCAATTCTGTCCAGCACTAGCTCAACCTGAGATCAATGCCCAAAGTAGCAATCTGAAAACTGATCAAAGCTATCCCGTATGGGTTAAGTAGAGGCGAAATTCACCAATTCGAAACAAGAGAAAAAGGAGGGATCTTTGGAACAGAAAGCAGCATAAACCTCGCAATTGACATCGAACCCACGACAAGAAAACAGAAACAGGAAAAGGGCAAGCATCAAAATCTGCTCTTGTGAATTATGAAGAACAGAAACCCACCTGATTTGGGAGGAGCATGGAGGAAAATAGAGGAGTGATGGTTAGGACGCTTGAGCGTGAGAGCGGGATTAGGATCGAGGGAAGAGGTGAGAGGAAGAGAGATTCCCAAAGGCAACGACCGCATTGCCCGATATTATGTTTTTGTCTTTGATTGTTTCCTTTGTTGCTTCCCCACCCTCCTCCCTCCCTCCCTCAGCTACCCAAAAAAATCCCAGATTCTTTTCTTCTTGCCCTGCTGCTGGGTTTTCTTTCAGGATTAATTGTGTGTGGTAACTGGTAACTGCTGATTTCCCCCCCTCAAAGGATGTCTTGTTTTGCTTCAGTCGCCCAACGTTCTCGCACGTGTGTTCTACTGTTCTTGCCTCTGTGACTGTGATACTGTCTGTGCTCCTTGCACAAAGTAGGAGCCAGTTCCAAAGTTAAAACGTATTTAGGATGAAAGAGTGCAAAATTGGGTGACCTTTTTTGGAGTCACTGCATTCTCAAATAAAATTGTGCAGGGTATACTTAAAAGTGAATAATATTTTGCTTAGAAAAGGGTTGAGATGTATAAATGGTATTAGAGCTTATTCGTGTCCCTTACGAACGATGGTAGTGCAAACATTAATGAGGATGTTGAGTCCAAAAAAGGTGAAATGTAACATTTTAGACAAATCCTATACCGACAAAATATAGGAGAAATCCATGGTCTATATGAAACAACTCATTCTTAACTGATAAGACGCGTTTAGATTGAAATGAAACATATCAGCATGGAGCCGTAAAGAGATGTGTGACCTCCTATGAAGTCAGCATTATACATCCAAAAACAAAACCGTGAGAACTAGGCACAACATTGACAATATTTTGATGAGAAAAAAAGTTGGTTGTTAGTTGTTACGCTAAATATGATCTATAATACATTTTTATAAGGAGGATTGAGGAAGGACAAAAACGTAATTTGTGCATAAGTCCAGGCCTCTGTGTACGCCAAAAGCAGGGATGGGCAATGGATGGGTTGGGCGGGTTTTTGGGCAAAATTCACCCACCCATTGTTAAGGTGGGTGATGAAAAAATGACCCACACCCACCCATTTGTATCGTTGTGGGTGGGTTGGGTGGATGACAACGGATGGTGGGCGGTTTTGGTGAGCCAAATTATTTTTAAATAATTAGACAATTATGAGCCATAAATGTTTGCATTAAACTAATTAAATATCAATACTACAAATCAAGAAAATTGATAGCTATTAAACCTAGTTTATTGCATAACCTAACACCAATTATCTAATTTGCGAACACAATATATTTTGTTGATAGTTATTATATTTTAAAATGATCTATTTTATGTTGTAAATGAAGTAAAACTTATAAAATATCATTTTAATTTAATTGAATAAATCACAATTGAAGTTTTATTATAGAATGTGCATTAACGACTTAATATATCAAGTGATTTTGTAGGTAATGATCCACCCGATACTCATCCACTACCCACCCAAATTTAGTGGGTGACAAAAATGATGACCCACACCCACCCACCACATCCACCCAAACATGTAATGAGTGAGTTATAATCGGGTGGATTCGGGTGGGTCTAGCGGTTGACCCATCTATTGCCCATCCTAGCCAAAAGAAATTGCAATTTGCAAGACTTCATGGTCAACTCAATAGTCAAGGCTGTGTACGACAAAGAAATTGTAAGACTTCATAGTCAAGCGGATGGGTTAAATGCACGGTTTGCCACTTAACTATAATTGAAGTTGCACACAAAACATTTAACTTGTTTTTGTTGCAAGTAAATCATATAAGTAGAATTTTTGTTGTAACTAAACCATACAAATCGAATTCTAGTTGCACATAAACATTGTCACATAAATTTGATATTTGTGTAATAACGATTATGTAGGTTTTATTTTCTTCAAAATGTTATGCCGATAATTCCAATTTGGTACTTGATGTTAATTCTGAAAAATATTTAAAATACACGACAACGCTCAACAAATTTCTTTCAATATATCCTACTACACAATCATTAACGAAGTGATCGCCTATTCAATTCTGAAGTTTGTTTTTTATGTAACCCAAAGCTAAAAAAACTCTTTCAACACTTGGAGTTGCAACCGTTAAATCATTACAACCTTGAGGAGCAAATAGGCCTACGGATATGATAAGGCTCACTTTCGTCTTCACCATCAATTGAGCTAATTCATTAGTTCTTTTAAGTCCATGTAGAATAACTCCTCATTCTTAACACAAAAATATGAATAATTCCCAAGATCCCGTAGAAGAAAAAAATAAAAAAGGTGACCAAACTATTTAGGATAAGTCGTGTGTTAGAATATGGTGGGAGATAAGGGGTAACCAATAGGTGTAACTTTAAATTTTGGAAAATTTGGGATAAGAGCTACACGTTTCTAATTACATTTATGTTAAAATTACAACAACAAATGAAGTGTACTAAAATAAAAAATACGTTTACTAATAATTATATTCTCACATGTTAAAATCACATTAATTATTTATTTACTTTTTCCTTTTTTTTCATACACAAACTACTACCGGGAGCTCGTTAAATTTTTGGGTAATGACTATTTATTAGCCAAATCTTTTTTGGATTCTTTTTTATTAGCCAAACCTATCAAAATACTAAAAATTAGCCAAATGTTAACTTCTAGTTAGCAATTTTGTTAGTTTTATTTACTTAGTAACGTGCCAGCATAATACTAACTTGAAAGAGAGTAAGAGACACATGAAGGCCAACATTCCAAAATTTTAGTATTTTAACTAAGAAAAGAGATACAAAATTATTAACGATAACGTAAAAATGTCTAATATTTTGATGCATTATGAAAAATTTGACTAATTAATAGCATTTTAATAGGTTTGGATAATATAAAAGAATCTGAAAAAGATTTCGATACAAAATAGACATTACCCTAAATTTTTTACCAAATTTAAACCCAGAACTGCAACTATACACCAGGGAAAGGGCTATCTAGCAAAAAGTCCAAGTGCTACAATCATCATTTCAACATGTTTCATTCAACTTTGCGCATCGTAGCCCACATAGTAACAAATTAACAATACAAGTTATACAACCCTTTCATTATTGAATAGCAGCCTGATAGATCCAGATAATAGGAGCTGGAACACAGATTTGCTTCAATGTCATGTGTCGAGAGCTGAAGTGGAGGCCATCCTTAAAATCCCAATTGGAGAGGAGGGGATCTGGTGATTTTTGGGCTTGGAGCCTCTCTCAGGATGGAGATTTCTCGGTCAAGATGGCATACCACGCTGTTCATAAAGCAAACACAAATTTCCAACCGATGGGAAGTGCAAAGAGGTGGAAATGGATCTGGGGTCTGAACATCCCACCAAAGCTGAAATTCTTTATCTGGAGATGTTCCAGGAACGGGTTGGCAACGTAAGCAAGGCTATTCCAACGCAAATGTGCTCCTAACCCGAGTTTTCATGTGTGTGATAACCCTTTCGAGTCCCTTACCCACTGTCTTTTCTACTGCCCTCATGCCAGGGATTCATGGAATACCATTTTCCCATCCCTTCCGATCCCTCCCTAGGGCACCTCTTTCTTTGACTGGTTCTGCTCCCTCAAAGATATCATCCCTCATAACTCCCTGATTCATATTATCTACCTCTGTTGGAACATTTGGAATGCAAGAAACGAGTGTACTTTTAAGAATAAAGTTCCTTGGCCCACAAACGTGTGTCTGCATACCTATAGAGAACTAACGGAATGAATTGCTTGCCCGAGGCCCCCATCTCCAATTTGAGAAGGTCCCACTCAGCTCAGAGGATCCCATCCTACTATGAATCCCACGCATAACTCGTTTGTGATTCACTGTGATGGGTCGTTCTTTAACTCCCAGTCGGCGACATATGGTGTTGTTGTTGTTAACCACCATGGACAAGTGTGTGACGGGAGAGATGAGAATCTACTTTGTTCCACCCCGATTGAAGCGGAAGCAAGGGCACTCTTGGAAGGTATTAAATTAGCACAAGAAAATGGATCGGAATGTACAGTGCAAACTGATTGTCTATTGCTGGTGAAGGCCCTGAACCAAAATCAGTCTCGATGGCCATGGAGATGTGCAGCCTGGATTAGAACAATGATCAATATCCTTAGGAATAACCCTGCATATTCGGTTAAAGAGGTTCCAAGGACGTTGAACGTCAGAGCTGATTGGGTAGCACGATCAAAAGCTAGATCTACTCTACCAGATGACTGGATTAATATTATTGATCTAATTTCTAATCTCCTTTAAAATTGTAATCGCTTTTTAGCGTGTTTCTTTCAAATGGTGGAATAAAAGTTGGTTTTATTGTAAAAAAAAAATCATTGAATAGTACACTTATCGTGTTATCCACCAACAATTCCCCGAGCACTTCTACTATGCTATATAGCATTGGTGCTTTAATGTACAACTCAAAGTTGTACCATAACATTAAATGTATAAGTTTAGGTTGTACCATAAAGCAATTTGTACCATTATGTTATGGTACAACTTTACAACTTGAAGTTGTACCATCACATAAAAGTACAAGTTCAAGTTGTACCATAAAAGAATTTGTACAAAAAATATAGGTACAATATGAAGTTATACCATAACGTAAATGTACAATTTTAAGTTGTACCATAAAAGCAAAAACCTATAGCACAAATACTATATAGCATTGTAAAATTTCTCACAATTCCCCTACTTTTTATACTACAAAAATATTATATATTCATCATATCCTAAACCTTTTCCCCGCTAGACATTCCTATTGGGATGAGGAAAACGTGCTACAGTTTTATATATTCATCATATCTTAACCTTTAAATATATATATTACGTAGGCACGTGCTACAGTTTTTATTTTATTTGGATTGATCCATTACCATTTGACGCACACTCACCAGCCAATAATTAAAGAGAACGGCAATCCGTACAGCTCAAACGCCGACAGCGGCCATGAACTCCTGATCACCGCCGAGACGCTCCAATGTCTCCGGCGACAAACAAATCTCGACGTCCATACTCCCTGCTTCCACCCCGGTAAACACCGTCACCTTCCCGTCGAACTTGTTCCCGGCCCCACTCCTCACCGCCACCGGCTTCCCCCACCCGAAATCGTTCCCGTACACGTCGTACCTCGGCGAGCTACTCAGCAACAGCGTCTCCTTCGCCAGCCTGGCCAACCCCGAGATCCGTGGGTTCTCGATCCAAGCCTCCAGCTCTTCCATCATCTTCTCCTCCCCCTGCCCAGCCACCACTCGGTTCACCGCCGCCGCCACGTGTCCCAGCCCCTTCTCCCCCTCCAGCAGCAGCAGATCCCTCTCCTTCAGGACGACGAAGCGGATCACCATGGCGTTCCCCAGGTAATTCTCGGGGAATTTCGGCTCCAGGCGCGAGCGAAGGCCGACTGCGAGTTCGAATCGCGTCTCCCGGTCTGGATCTGGATTGTTTCGATTCCGAATCACGGCTCGCCAGATGTGGGAAATTAGGGTTTGCAGAGACGAGATTCTCTCGGTGGATGATTCGGCTTGGGCTTGTGATTTGAGGTCCGCGAGTTTCTCGCGGGTGAAGTGGAAGACCCGCTCTCTGATCATCGTCCACGGAATCCTGATTGGGAGATGCTTCTCGTCTAGAAACCAGTGCCTGGTGAAAGTTTGATCGGAGCGGGAGATCTCGTCCGAGTAACCAGAGCGACAGATTTGGGACCAGAAATTCACGAACCTCCAGAGCGTACTTCCGTCGGCCACCGCATGGCTAATCGTGCAGCCGACGAAGATCCCGTCGGCGAGCTCCGTCACCTGAACCGCGAAAAGCGGCTCGCTGAAACCGTGGTAACTTCGGAGCCAGTTGAGTGCGAAAAAGGACCAGAGAATCGGTGGGACATAGAGAGGCTCGAGGATGTCTGCGACGGCTACGCCGTCAGCCACGGCGTGAGCGAACAGGGCTCCGGCGTTGTTGCAGTCGATATAAACAGAGGCAGTGCCGTCGGGGTGTTCGTCGGCGGAAAGACGGCCGGCGAGCGGGTAGAATAAGGATAGAGTACGGGAGAAGGAGGATTTCAAGTTGTGGATGAAGGTGGCTTGATCGATTTGGGGATTGGGAGGTTTGCGGAAGAGAAGGCCCTTTTGGATGGTGCCGATCAGAATGAGGCGCAGGTCGCATGGAGTCAGGGGAATCCTCTCTGAAAAGGATAGCTTGTTCTGCTGCTGCTGCTGCTGCTGCTGCTCAGCTGTGGTTACTGTCGTTGCTTGAACTAAACTTGTGGAGAGGACTCGAACTTGGGCATCCGCCATTCTTTTGGAGCTCTGAGCAAACTTGTGAATTCCTAGAAAGTAAATGGTAGCAAGATATATGTGAAAATGTTAAGAGTGTAGAAAGGGTATTTTTGTTTATACCATTAAATTTTTATTTCATATAAAAATATATAATGAAAAGATTTGAACCATGATCTCTTTCATAAAATACAAGAATTGTAACCAATTAGACAAGACATATTTGTTGTACTTTATTAATACAAAACATAAAGAAAGTTAAAATTATGAAAACCAGAGTACTTTTCTATCACGGTTAGTTAGCCCGCTAAGTCTTCTATAAGTATTTTGTGGTGTTTGATACTTCTATTTCATATTTTAATAATTAATTTAGAATTTTTTCTAATTTATAAAAGAAAGATAATTTTAAAATCTCAACACAAATATCAATGGTTGGAATATTGCGCATTGTATTGAAGTGTTGATGAAGTGTTCAATGACGACATAAGAACAGTGGTACCATACATTTCAAGAAAAATAAACATGACAAACACCGATACCAATTATCTCGACAGTCTATTCTAAAATTCGAAATTGTTTAATCATTCAATTTGAGTGATAGTTTAGTCAAATCAAGCAAATAATTCACGATTGTGTATGAAAAAAAAACATATGTATTATATTATGAAAAATGTATTTATTTTAACAATCTCACAAAAACAATCAAGACTTCCATATGACCCCTTATTTCAATAATGTAATTAATGAAATAACTTTTATCAGCATGATGCAATGTTCAAGCTAAGTTCCAAGTATTAATCACCAGTATATAGTATTCATCATAGTTAGCTATTTTAATATCCACAACTAACTATTAATGGTTACTTGCTTTCTCTTTGAGGGTTTAATGTAGCACTCTCATGCATAGCTATGCTCTAAGCATTTGTTTTCTTTTACACATTATCATTTGCAGTTATTTATTAAATCTACTTTGTTTCTAGCTTTCAATTCCTAATTATTCACTACTTCCTACCAAGTTATGGGAATGCTAGATATATTTTTCATGTCTAATCTATTGACCATAAATGTTGCTTAAAATCCAACGGTATCCATGTTAGGTTTGATGTCACCAACATATTCTCCCAATTTCTCCAAAAAGCATCATATCTTGCGATTGATATCATAGTTGTGTTAGGTAAAGTTCAACAAACTCAATCAATATTCGAACTCTTTGAAGTAGCTATCTACATGCGAATATGAAGTACCGAGTAGCTAAAACTCTACTTGAGTTAGTACAATCTTTTGCGCCATCGATTCAAAATTCAATACATGATTATCTTATTACGATTTAGTCATACTAATTGTGCATTAGGGGGGTGATAGACCATTATTTGCACATGTTTTGACCCCCATTTCCAGAACCGTTTGAGAGTCGATTCTCGTGTTTCAGGCCGATTTCACGCTAGGTTGTTCGTTTATGTCATATTTTTGGACTTGACGTGGATATGGAGGCGTGAGAACGAGTTTCGGGTCGGAGAGTGGAAGTATGGAGCCAGAGGAGCTGTCAGATGAAAATACCAGATGAAAATGGTTACCAAAATACCCTTGATAAATCGTAAACCAAAATAAGAACTGAAAAGAGTTGGAAAAATAGCAAAAGCTTTTCACAAATAACTTTAACGTTTGGTGAAGTAAACTGAAATCTCTTAAGAGCAAGCCCTAACACTTGGGCAAACCTCAACCATAACATCTTAATATGAATCTCCAGGTCTATACTCATAAACGTAAAGAAATAATTAAAACTCTACTTTGTTATCTGCTCGGATTCGATCTCTTGCACCTTCAGTTACGCTTGTACTATTTTCATCACTAACTGATCCGTCTTGTAGCAGATGGCCATTAGGTCGGCCACATGGGGGGAGATATGCACAAGTAAAATTTGAAAAAGATCGAAAGTGAAAGAATGTACTAAGAGCAAGCCACCACTCTCTTCAATTTTGTGGTCCAAATTAATGTAAGAATGGGACAAATGTTGTATGTCAATTTCTAACAATATCAATTTGGTTGGGACATCGATATTACTCCATCTGATCTGTACCTACACATGATATTACTTGTCATATCAATTTGGTGGGCATACGACACTTTTTTTTCCGAGCAATGTCAAGACAATAGTTAGAAAGAATTACTACCACAACAGTGGCGGAATCAAAAAATTGGCCAAGAGATGTCTTTATCATATCATAAAAAATCACATATATAATAGAAAAGTAAACTCTAAATGAAACAAAAAGTCAACAACACAATACTCTAAATTCATATAATTACATAAAAATAGTTTCATGTACACCAGTTACAACGCCAAACAAATAAGTTCAGTACATACAAGTCAAGACTTTCATTCATCAAATATTATAAATTAGAACTCAGAAATACCTTGGAATTGATTTTGTGAAACAAACAAGTGAACTTCAATTGACACTTCTTCACTTTCAGTTTTGTTTAAACAAAAGACAAGAGATTCCTCTTTTGTAGAGCTACAAAAGAAATGAGCAAGTTTAAACAAAAGACAACAGTTTATTACTATAAATAAAAACGAAAGTGCATTGCATAACAAAACTCACTCGGTCGAGATGGTAAGGAATTCTCCTTGCAATTGAATGGTAAGTGGTTCGAATTTGTATATACCCTTTCCAAACCCAAGGGGGTGCCCCCTCCTCTCCAAGTGGCTCTGCCATTGACCCACAATCCCTATCCATCCCAATAATAAGTCACCCTACATTTAACGGTCAGTCATTTAACGGTAGGATGTGGAAGAAATTTTTTTTTATTTTTTTAATGATGTGAAAATATTAAAAGAGTTAAATTTATTTTTTATTATTTTTTTAGTTTCCACGTCAGTCATTTAACGGTCAACTGTTATAGTTGACTGCCACATCAGATAAAGATAACGGAGAGTGACTAAACGTGGACCATTTTACTAATTTGAGTGACCAAACTTGATATTATTTTTTTCCAGTGACTAAACATGACACATTTTAATAAACTCAGTGACCAATCTTGGCATTTACCCGTAAAAAAAGCTAACTCTATCTGAGACAATAACATGACTTAATATGTCACTCTCTAAGTAGCCCAATTGACCGTCCACAAAACCGCACTAAATCTATACAATAAAAAAAGACTTAAAGAAAAAGACGGAGGCCTCCAGAGGAATCTTCACCTCCGCCACTCCAAAATTGAGGTGACGGATTACAACTTCTGCTGGTGTATGTATCCGTCGGTGTATCTCTTCCCAGTCCCACTGTGTTGTTTCCGATTAGTTAAAATTTAGTTACTAATTACTTTCTTTCCTTTCCTTTCCTTTGAATTCACGTGAGTATGCATGCATGAGGAATTCCTAATCAATTATTATCATTTGTTTGTTTCCCTCATGTTTTGTTGGTTTTGTTAGAGATTATGAGTTAATTATTATTTCTTATAATAGTTTATTTGTTTTCCTTCTCAAATCTAATGGGTCGTTCCGTGGCTGATATTTTTTTTTTGTTATTATTTCATCTAATGTGTTGCTATTTGTTTGTATATTCACATTGTAAAAGTAAAAAACTTATAATTATAAGTCACCAATCTCTTTGTATTTCCGCATCCATCCTGGTTTGAGGGTTCGATTTGTAGGTCGGCATAGTAATAGCCTAATAGGATAGCCCATATGGGGGAATGAATCAGGTCAGTAACCTTATGGTGAGTAACCATGAGTAACCCGTCCACATCAGCATGACATCAGCATCCTCTCTCTCATGAAAAGCCTTTAATTTTTCCCTCTTTAATCTTTGACGGACGATTTCTCGCTCATTTTAAGTCGAAATTTAATTTTTTATTGCACAGTTAGATCAGATTAATTGTGCTCTTCAAAATGATATCCACTTTAATATATTTTTCGAACAAAAAAAACTGAGCCATTTTTTACAAGCCTATACCATATGGTATTGATTGGTATTGAAATAAAAGCATACCTATGTTTTGAAAAACGTACCATGGTGGTATGAACAAACCAATACTGTAGGATGGTTGAATACATGATAGTAGAAGTATATTAATTGTAATTTACGACTTTTAACATTGTATACCACACAATACCACCCCGTACCAGGATGGTATTGTATGGTATTGTGTGGTATTTTTTGGTCCTGTAATTTGTTCACCCAGAAATTTGTAGATCTAATAGATCATGATGAACTCGTCCCTTCTGTGCAAACGTTTTCAAAAACGAATTAAAAACGAAGAAGATACCATACAATACCACCCCGTACCAGGGTGGTATTGTATGGTATTGTGTGGTATTTTTTTGTCCTGTAATTTGTTCACCCAGAAATTTGTAGATCCAGTAGATCATGATGAACTCATCCCTGCTGTGCAAACGTTTTCAAAAACGAATTAAAAACGAAGAAGATACCATATGGTATGTAGTTGGTATCGAGAGGCCAGAATTCTTTTTTCCTAAAAAAATATTGAAAATTGATCTCATTTTGTAGAGCACGGTGAACTCGTTTCATCTGTGCGAAAAAAATTAAAATCCGAGTTAAAACGAAAAATATATGAGTCAATTAAGAAAGCTAGTGAAAATAAAAATAGCCTTTAATTCTCCATCCTTAGATCTGGATTTTCTAAATGAAGGGTCCAGATTTGGTTATTGATGGGTGCATAACCCATGGTTATGCACCCTATCTTGAGCCCTCATATGGTGGCTAGGAAAACCCTCTCTTTGTACCCGATCATGGATCGTAGCTTTAATTATCAGGCCTGGCTGAATTCCAGGATGTAACTATCTTTTTATGATCAATACAAGATTATATTTTGTAAAAAAAAAAAGTCACCAATCTCAAGTGAAATAATAAAGTAGAACAAAAATTCATTGAGATGTTTATTTTACAAATGACTATTACTTTTATCAACATATGAAGGTTTATTTCTTTACAAATGATTATTACTTTGTATATTCAACCCGAACTCGCTCAATTATACATACGAATGTTTTTTTTTATTTACAAATGACTATTAGTTTCATCAACATATTTGATATTTATTGTACATATATAATATTTTTATGAAATGGTATCTTTAACTCATTTTATTTATTCTACTCGCTTCCAACTCAGCTTCACTCCATAGAGTTTCAAATATGTTAGGGTTGTGGTGTGATTCTCGTTGCTCGGGCTTTGTGCGTGCGTTTGTAGGTTGTTTTATGGTTATGGGTCTTGAACACATGTATTGGGTTTGATAGGTGGGTTTTTCTAGGGTATTTATTTTTTCCTATGTAGTCTTATCATTGCGTTAATCGCAATTTGTACTCTTATAAGTTTGTAATGAATTAGTATTGTTAAATAAAAAAAGTCACAGCGATGGGAAAAATCTTCAGTTCTTTGCAGGCCGGTAGCAGTATGTTTGATTCTGGGCTCAGGGAGGGACAAAGTTTTACTGTCCGCTATCGTACCTCAAACCGAGTCAAAGGGCTTAGCTTCCGTAGAAGTTGTTACTTGAGCTAGTGGCCCACCCAAGCGAAGCCCATAGGCGTGGCCCAATAACGATGCTTGGAAGTCTCACACCACCACACCAGTGACACCACACCAGAAAAAATAAAGCAATCTAGTTGTCCAGGCGGGCGGCCCCTGATCTGAACTCTGAAGAAGAAGCCATATATATCTCGACTCCTTCTGTGATTAGGAATCAGTGCACGATGAAATCGACGGATTACCTGCCGGTATTTCAACTTTGTATTGGTATCGAACTCTTTAGTAAGTACGTCCGGTCCAGCTACTATATAACCGAAAACTAAATTTCCCTTTTCTCACACCGTCACACGAATTAACCACAGTTCATTCAATCATGGAGCGGGAGAAAGATCCATGGAGTTGCTCTTGCTCCTGCTCCTCCAAGTCAGTAATCGAGACGGTGACTGGGTCGCACGAGTTCATTGTAAAGGGTCTTTCTCTCGGGAAAGGTATCGGAGTTGGGAAGTACATGTCCAGTGATATTTTCTGTGTGGGTGGCCATGACTGGGTGATCCGGTTTTACCCGGATGGGAGGAAACTCGTGGATGGAAGCTCTAAATCTGACTTCTTTTCGGTGGGCATTGGTTTGGTCAGCGACGCTGGTGATTCGGGCATTAGGGCCTCGTGTGAGTTTACCTTCTTGGACAAGAGAGGGAAAGAGTTACCAGAGGGCTTGTCCGGCCGGCCATCCCCTATGAAGAAAGGATACGAGTGGTAATCATGTGTTCATTAATCAAATGCCTCCATCAAGAAGCTGCTCTTGAAAGCTTGCTTCGAGCTCGTATATATCATATTGTTGTCTGTCTGTCGTCTTTGCAATGCAGGGTTCGAGACATCAAGGAAGCAAATCAAGGAAGCAAGTATGTACAAAATGATTGCATCATCATTCGAGGCACTGTTCGAGTTCTTGTTCTTGCGAATCGGCTTGAAGGTGCCAAGCAGGGTTCCATTACCGTACCCGACTCCAACTTTGGCCAGGGTTTCAAGGAGCTACTGGAATCTGAAGTTGGTTGGGACGTTGTGTTCCACGTTGGTGATGAGGTATTTCGAGCTCACAAGTCCATTCTTGCTGCGCGATCCCCTGTTTTCAGAGCCCAGTTCTTTGGACCAGCAGGGGATCCTAACTTGAATGAAGTTACAGTGGATGATATTCTTCCCTCCATCTTCAAGGTGACCGACCTTATTATGCCCTTCTCTGTAGGCTTGCATTTTGTTATATATATTTTTTGAGTTTAGAATGTAATAGGCGGTTATGGGGCTTCGATCTGGACTCCCTCGTCCGATCTTCTGGAGAGCGGCCTCCAGGATCTACGCTCCGACGCCCAAACTAATATGATATAGGAAGCGGTTTATGGTATGTAGAGATAGAGAGTTTAGAGAGAGACCTTAGGGTAGAAGTGAGAAGGGGAAAGAGAGGATCCTTTGGCTTGGAGGCTTTGACCTCCTCATATAAAGCTTGAGTCTCCTTAAGTGGGCTTGGGCCCGGGACACCTTGCGGTGGGGTTGAGCCCATTTATAATCGTGTAGGCATATTAATCCATATCCCAACATTTTTCTTACACTGTATGTCCCCTCTAATTTGCAGGTGATTCTCCGATTCATATACACAGACCAACTTCCTGATGTGCATGATATTGTTGGCTTCTCGGCATCCATGTCAGGTGCTGCCAACGTCACCCAACACCTGTTAGTTGCTGCTGACCTCTACAACTTGGACAGGTTGAAGGTGTTCTGTGAATCCAAGTTATGCAAGGAGCTTACCGCCGTATCGGTGGCCACCACACTAGCATTGGCTGAGCAGCATCAGTGCGCACATCTCAAAGCTGTCTGCTTGAAATTTGCAGTACATCCCAACAACTTGGCAGGTACGTCTGCAGTTCATGTATCCTAAGTTTAAGTTATGTCCATTTCCCAATATTTGTTTGTTGGGATATATAGAAGAGAGGTATGCATCTTTGCTATGGAACTCAACCCTCAATTCAGCTTTTAATTAGTACTCAATTGATCATGGCAAGTATTAAAATATATGTTAGCCTCTGCATGACAGTGATGATGAAATCAGAAGGTTTCAAACATTTAGAGGATAGCTGCCTGTTTCGTTGGCGAAACTTCACGTGTTCGATGCGCACTGTTTTCAATTAAAACACAAACACGAAATCAGACAAAATCGTCAAATATCCGCCGCCGGTGTCGGCGCCGTTGATTTGATCGATTAAAACAGAAACAAAGACGATCGTCAAATGGCCGCCGCCGGTGTCGGCGTCGTTGATTTGATCGATACACCTTTGACTTCTAATCAAACAACTGTTATTCGGTTCAACACCTCTCCAAACTACGTTCGAACGAGGGTGTTCGAATAAACAGAAAATCGAACCAGGAGTGTTCTAAGTTACGTTACCTCTACTCCTATGGAGGTTCCTCTGGAGAGCTCCGCGACTACGACTACAAGCTACGATCTACGACTCTGCAAAGGAGTTCTTTGACAGAGCGGTTCTACGAACTAGAGAGAGAAAAGATAAAATCTGCGACGGTGCAGTTTGTGATTTGATTTTGCCCTCCCCAACTTCTCTCTCTCCCCAATCTTTATACTTCGCGCTTCTTCTCGTCGCAGTAACTGCTTCCGCGCTTTTGTCTCCCACGTCTTCACTCCTGTCAACCGCGCAGGTAACTTCCTCCTTGTTGCGTAACTCCCACGAGTGCGAAACCGCTTTGCTACGTAGCAACTTGACAAAACGACATTGAGCCACCCTTGTAATTATCCACCCGGGTTCGATAATCCACCCCAACTCCTCAAGCCAAACGGCGGCGTATGACAAACAACACCGCAACGCTGAGCTCCCCATCCTTGCAACATCGATGCACTCACAATATCAATGCCACTTTCGATGGTGATTCATGGCTTACAACATTGACGTAGCTTTTAGCATCCCGGCCTCGTCGGATTCCCACCATTGATGCCCAACTTTGTTGAATTCACGGTGTTGTTGAATTTCTCAACACTGAACTAAAGCTCATTAACGTCGTCGAGCTCGCGACCTTGTTTTGGGCAAAACGGCATCGCTTTCACTACATTGTTAAACTCTTGCAACATTGTCTTTGACTAAACAATGTCGTTTCTTTGCTTCCTAGTACCGCAGGGTTGTTTTTACCTTCCGCGGCGTCGTATTCAACTAGACGACGCCGTCTAAAATAATTATAAAATACTAATTAACTAAAACACCCGCATTGTTTTCTCGCCGCCAAACTCTCACTCCTCGGCGTCGTTCTTAGTTAAACAACGTAGTTTCCTTGTCCCGCGATGTCGTTGAATTTCTGAGCTTCGCGACACTGTTCTAATCTTAAACAATGTCGTTTTAACGGTCGCGGCATTGTTTGGCCTGCTCACGGTATCGTTTCTTTCCTTTGCGGCATCGTTTCCAACTAACGACACCGTGCTAAAAAGTCATTAAAATATTAATTAACTGACCATCACTAGTCCACGACCAACAACATCGTTAGAGCCAAAACGGCTCCGTTTGTTTTTCCTTTTGCGACATTGTTTTTTATTAAACACTGTCGTTTGCTAATCCGCGGTACCGTTTTTAAATTAAACGACACCGCCGATTTAATCCACGGTACCGCCGGAGTCGGCGCTCGCATTGGGCCGTGTGAATTTTGGTCACTTGCCCATCGGTACCGCTTGCCAAGCTCTCACGGTACCGTTTGAACTCTCCGCAGTACCGATTTTCCTCCTCCAACACGGATTAAAAATATTTAATTAATTAAAACAAAACTCCTTCTCCCACAAGACACCACACGCGCGGCCCTCCTTTCTTTATTCCCCGGTGTCGTTTCCAGTACCGCGGTACCGGACAGCTTCCTTGCGGTACCGGCGAGCTCTCTTGCGGTACCGTTTTAACTCCAAACGATACCGTTTTTTAACCCGCGGCATCGAATTAAATGCCGAGACTAATTAATGCGGCATTTAATCCCGGCCAAATTAATTTTAGGTGTCAACAAATGCCCCCCACAATTTGGTTTATAAGAATTATGAACCAAATTGTTGACACAATTTCAATCACCTAAAATACTAACATACATGATCTCGAGATGACCAAGTTAATTAGAGAAACTTTCATGGTTACATTTAGCCACCAGAACCCCAATCACGTAAGGATCATTCTGGATGTCTTCTTTTGGCTTTTCATACATCCAAAATGGGACTGCGTAGTGTTGTGGCGAGACTTGGCCAAAAATGTAACGGATTTGTTTCTTTGTTCCGCAACACTGTAGCGGCGAAACAGTCAAACCGAGCCAGACGAAGAAAGGGTGGCTGCTTTGGCCCCTCTCCATTCTCAAATTCTCAAGACTTTCAACAGTTGACGATAAAACATCTTGCACCACTGCTTTTGCTGAAACGGAGTCGATCGGGTGTCGTTTTCAATGCTTTTGAACTCCGCAGCACCGCAGCGACTCAACAGTCACTGTTTGGGCAAACAACAACATTGCGCGTTCTATTATCATTATTATTATTTTTTTCTGGCCGAACAGAGTTGGCCGCAAGCCTGAATGGCAAACAGCCCTGTTTACTCCTCCCTTCAACGCTGCGTTTCCCCAACAACTCCTGCCTAGCCTCGCCCCGCTACTTCTCGTACAGACAGCGGCGCTTGCGACTTCGCAGCGGCATTAGAGCCCCAAACCCATTACCCAGTCTCATTCTTTTCCTACCAAGGAAAGAACGCAACCGAACAAATCTTGCAATCCTTCTCCATATAGGATTGGGCCTGCCCTCTCTATAAATCAACCACCATGCCACAGCCATAATCCCCACCCCCTTTTACAACCTGCGACAATACTCGCCGGCCCGCCGCCAACTTCTCCTTCGAGCATACGAAACACAGCCGGCTCTCATCCACCACGGCACCGACATGGCCCCCGGCGGCCGCACACCTCCCCAAAAACAGTATTGACTTTCTCATTCCCTTTCGTTACTCGCCAGTTACACGGCAAAATTAGATATATATGGCTAGTACATGTGCCCCATGCAAACTTGTGGAGGAATCACTACATGCATATATATATATATATATATGTTCTTGCTTCATTGTTTGATTTTGTCTTTGGTACGTATAATATTCATGCAATCGTGATCTTATGAATAAAAGACAACGTACCTGCCCTTGGTAGATTCATTATGCTGCCGCTACATGCCTCGGTGTGTGACTGGGAGTTTTCTCTCCGATTATGAGAATAACTAAATATACCTGGTTCTTTTCTTGGCAGGCCACCACCGCCCGACCTCGCGGCCCATGTATGCAGCATCGAGGATCCCCAGGAAAGATGGAAGAGCCTAGACAACTCCTCCGCCATAGAACTCGACACACTCTCATTAACGGACAAGGGGGAGGGTTTGCACGGCCCTGCCATAATCGATCGTGACGATGAGTCCATAAACAAGCTAGATGTTTATCCTGTTTCCCAAGCCAAGCTGCTGCTCCGCCACGCACCAACTCCGTTCTTTGCCCAACAGAAACCGAAACGAACACTCTCTTCCTGGGCTCTCTCTGGACAAGATTTTGTGAGATGGTATTGTCGCCTACTTGCGGATGAAACCACTATCTCTCATTGGAGGGATGCTGGCATAGATCGCTTCTTATCTCTTTGTGCCCATCCTCCCCTACCAGATGCCGATTTATTCAAAGCTGCCATATGTTTTTGGTCCACCGAGTCCAACAGCTTTGTTTTCCCATTTGGAACCATGACAGTCACCTTGCTCGACGTCGTTGCATTAACTGGCCTCTCCCGTCATCGTCATCCTTGTTTTTCCGATCGAATTTCGACTTCGGCTCCTCCAATTCCAGCATCTCCTCTTCGATGAGGGAGTCATCCAGCTCAGCATCGTACTCAGCCTCTCCCGGGACTCCTTGATCGTTCCCGTCCAGGTTGTCCTCGACAACTTTTCCAGCACCGGCCACAGTCACTCTCAGACCCGTGGCAGAGTTGTCTACGTTCACATTTGCTTGCAAGTTTGCAATCCTCCTTCCTTGAGCATTCTTGCGGAGGTACCTTCGATACTGCGTCCGTGTCATCGCGTCAACTGCGATGGGCTGCTGACGACGGACGTCGTAGGTGTGCCAACCACCCCGTGGCACATTTGGCATCCTGAAGGTTCTCCTGACAGGTGGGGGACCCCTCACTGGTTGGGCAAGCCCAAAAGGTAGACTTTTGAAAGGCGGGGCACTTTGAGCAACCCACTGCCTACGCTGCCCTCTTCCCCACGCAGGTGCACGTACTCCTTCGACACTGCGTTCATATGAGGGATACCTCGGTTTGAACTGTCGTGGTCCCAATCTCTGGTGGACCAACTGGCTCGGTCCCGCTCCCCCAATGGTTAGCTTTCCGCGACACTGAGCACACAACTTCTCTTCCTCAACTGGGTCCAAGCGTGGCCCCTCCTGCACTTGGGAGGATGAAGCTCCCTGGGCCACATCAGAACTACCACTCGGCGGCGGCGATGTGTCCACCACCAACTTGAAGCGTGGCAGGTTGATCTTAGAGAAATCGGGATTGACCATGTTGACGCCGACAACGTTTGGGAACGGGTCTGTGTCAACAATCATGGCCTCCTTCCTCGGCTCTGGGAACTTGAACCGACCTTTCTCAATTGCATCCTGCACAACGTTGCGAAACACAACACACATGTTAGTTGAATGAGATGCACTGTTGTGCCATTTACAGTATCGTTTCCCTTTTAATTTTTCAGCTGGCGGGATAGTATGCCCCCCAGTCAACTTAATTTGACCATCTTTGTAAAGCTGGTCGAAAATCAGTTCTGATTTTGAGATATCAAAGGAATATTTTCTAGTTTGAATCGGGGCACGATTGGGCTTTCCACCTTGTGGTTCCCCATCGGCCTTGGCTAGAGAAGCACACACATATGGCTTCCCCTGCACAATCTCGGCCAAATCAACTTCAACTTCGTCAACATCGTTGCCGACGTTATTCACACCATAGTTTTCAAAATTAGGGAAATATTGTCCGCGAGAGCCACTTCTCTTATGTTCTTTTTCACGGAGAAGAGATTCATATCTAACAGCGCAGGACATCAATTGAAACAAATCAGAAAACTCCCTATCTTGAAACTTTTTACGAAGTTCAAAATTCAATCCACCCTGGGCCAGTTTAACAAACTCGCGTTCTGTCAAGTTCACAAAACAGCGATTTCTTGCATTTTTAAAGTTCGTTAAAAAGTGTTCCACTGTTTCTCCTGGCTGTTGGCGCATTCGTGCCAAGTCTGCCATTGTCACCTCTGGCTCAGAACGGTAAAACTGGGCATGGAACATTTGTTCCATTTGCTGCCAAGTTTGAACCGAGTTCGATGGCAAGTTGACGTACCATGCGAATGCAGGGCCGGTCAACGAGTTGTCAAACAAACGCAACTTCAAGAAATCACTCACATCACCACACTGAACCGTGAATCGTCCAACATGCTCGACGGTGGACTGATCCCCAGTCCCGCTGAAGGTGATGAAATCAGGCACGCGAAAACCACGTGGAAAGGGGTAGTATCTATCAACCCAATCCGGATATGGTTTTCGATACACCGGCGGCATCGCTGGTCTAATCCCTAAACCAAACTGATCCGCCAGCATCTGTGCTACTTGATCTCGAATCGCATTAACGTCTTGCCCCCCGAGTTGCCCCCCTTGTGGTATGAATCCACCAGGATCCATGCCAAACCCGTTTGGAGGCGGAGGCACGTTTTGTGGGTAGCCGCGTGGCGGAACATGATCATTGTTGATCGTTCCTCCACCACCAGCACCGCTCATCGGAGCCACGTAAGGTCTGGCCTCCGGAATATTTTGTGGACCCACACCGTGAAATGGCGGTGGTTCAACCCGAGTGTGAGCGGCAGTGCTAGTCTCGCCAAGATTAACTCGCGGAGTTGGTGGGTTCATCACCAGTGTCGGCGAAGCTCCTTGTCTTGGCGGACTAATTCGAGCACTGTTGTTTGGAAAACCAGTTTCGCTGTTTAAATTGTTTTCACCGTTTAGCGGCAAATCCCTAGGTTGCGTTACTGGTCTACCCAAGAGCTCCCTGATTTCATTCATATCACGTAGATTTTTATCCCCGAAAACATCAAAATCATGTCTGTTTTTAGTCACAACTTCAAAGAGTTGGCCTAAACGCCTATCAACACGAGACTCAAGAGAATCATGTCGTGCAGTTAAAGCGTCAAAACGTTGATTTACCTCGCCTTTGAAGCCTGCGAACTCATTGTTGAGGCTAGCAAACATGCGACGATTCTCCTCCATGAAATGGCGGATTGACAGATCCCCAGTCGGCCCAGCTGTGGACGGCGGATTCTCGGACCCGCCGATGTCTTCAGCACCGATTCCTTGGCCTCCTTCAATGTTGGCCACAGGTTCCTCCACGATTCCGGGCGGGACATCCCCTTCCGGATTCCTTCGTCGCGGAGCCATTCGAACACACGCGTCCCACCAGGTGTGCCAATTTGTTTCGTTGGCGAAACTTCACGTGTTCGATGCGCACTGTTTTCAATTAAAACACAAACACGAAATCAGACAAAATCGTCAAATATCCGCCGCCGGTGTCGGCGCCGTTGATTTGATCGATTAAAACAGAAACAAAGACGATCGTCAAATGGCCGCCGCCGGTGTCGGCGTTGTTGATTTGATCGATACACCTTTGACTTCTAATCAAACAACTGTTATTCGGTTCACACCTCTCCAAACTACGTTCGAACGAGGGTGGTTCGAATAAACAGAAAATCGAACCAGGAGTGTTCTAAGTTACGTTACCTCTACTCCTATGGAGGTTCCTCTGGAGAGCTCCGCGACTACGACTACAAGCTACGATCTACGACTCTGCAAAGGAGTTCTTTGACAGAGCGGTTCTACGAACTAGAGAGAGAAAAGATAAAATCTGCGACGGTGCAGTTTGTGATTTGATTTTGCCCTCCCCAACTTCTCTCTCTCCCCAATCTTTATACTTCGCGCTTCTTCTCGTCGCAGTAACTGCTTTCGCGCTTTTGTCTCCCACGTCTTCACTCCTGTCAACCGCGCAGGTAACTTCCTCCTTGTTGCGTAACTCCCACGAGTGCGAAACCGCTTTGCTACGTAGCAACTTGACAAAACGACATTGAGCCACCCTTGTAATTATCCACCCGGGTTCGATAATCCACCCCAACTCCTCAAGCCAAACGGCGGCGTATGACAAACAACACCGCAACGCTGAGCTCCCCATCCTTGCAACATCGATGCACTCACAATATCAATGCCACTTTCGATGGTGATTCATGGCTTACAACATTGACGTAGCTTTTAGCATCCCGGCCTCGTCGGATTCCCACCATTGATGCCCAACTTTGTTGAATTCACGGTGTTGTTGAATTTCTCAACACTGAACTAAAGCTCATTAACGTCGTCGAGCTCGCGACCTTGTTTTGGGCAAAACGGCATCGCTTTCACTACATTGTTAAACTCTTGCAACATTGTCTTTGACTAAACAATGTCGTTTCTTTGCTTCCTAGTACCGCAGGGTTGTTTTTACCTTCCGCGGCGTCGTATTCAACTAGACGACGCCGTCTAAAATAATTATAAAATACTAATTAACTAAAACACCCGCATTGTTTTCTCGCCGCCAAACTCTCACTCCTCGGCGTCGTTCTTAGTTAAACAACGTAGTTTCCTTGTCCCGCGATGTCGTTGAATTTCTGAGCTTCGCGACACTGTTCTAATCTTAAACAATGTCGTTTTAACGGTCGCGGCATTGTTTGGCCTGCTCACGGTATCGTTTCTTTCCTTTGCGGCATCGTTTCCAACTAACGACACCGTGCTAAAAAGTCATTAAAATATTAATTAACTGACCATCACTAGTCCACGACCAACAACATCGTTAGAGCCAAAACGGCTCCGTTTGTTTTTCCTTTTGCGACATTGTTTTTTATTAAACACTGTCGTTTGCTAATCCGCGGTACCGTTTTTAAATTAAACGACACCGCCGATTTAATCCACGGTACCGCCGGAGTCGGCGCTCGCATTGGGCCGTGTGAATTTTGGTCACTTGCCCATCGGTACCGCTTGCCAAGCTCTCACGGTACCGTTTGAACTCTCCGCAGTACCGATTTTCCTCCTCCAACACGGATTAAAAATATTTAATTAATTAAAACAAAACTCCTTCTCCCACAAGACACCACACGCGCGGCCCTCCTTTCTTTATTCCCCGGTGTCGTTTCCAGTACCGCGGTACCGGACAGCTTCCTTGCGGTACCGGCGAGCTCTCTTGCGGTACCGTTTTAACTCCAAACGATACCGTTTTTTAACCCGCGGCATCGAATTAAATGCCGAGACTAATTAATGCGGCATTTAATCCCGGCCAAATTAATTTTAGGTGTCAACACTGCCCGACATTGTTGCGTGAGTTGCTGAAGACGATTGCATCAACAGATGATAGTGGGGCTAGGGCCAGGCCTTGTCGCAGTGAACCGCTTTGTCCGTCCAGACAAACTGCACTGCAAAGCTTGTGGTCTGAGATGTGGTCAACTTTTAGTGTCGTTTTCAATTGGTGGTGGTTCTAACTGGGACCACGCAGTTTAAACTTTAAAAAATAATTCACTCACTAAAGAACAACAAGCGGTATTGTCAATAGTGCAAATGGATGAGACACGAGAAACCGATGGTGGGCCTTAGTGTGATTGGGAAACTCCATTGACGGTTAATCACGGGATAATTGCGTTGCAATTGAATTTTTTTAATTTGCAACGTTTTAAGTTTTTTATTAGAACTAGATATGTCCGCTCGCTTGCGCTTCGCGGCGAGTCGTTGAATATAGCACTGTTATTATTGTATCACATGAAACAATTAATAATATATAACTCATAAGACATAATTCCAAGAATGGTAAAAAAAGTCATTAAAATGTTTTGGGAGAGAATTCGTAGTAATATGCACTTGCTAACCAATGAAGTTACAAATTAGTAGATGATAATTTACATATTTGAAACCAAATAAGTGTTACGAAGTTTCTGCATTTGAAATTCAAAACCAAATACGAACAATATGCCATTTTCGTTCTCTTCGATTGGGTGAGAGATTTCCCTGTTGCCTTTTGATCCAAACCCGAGATCACTAAGATGTTGTGGGAGAGAATTCGTAGTAATATGCACTCGCTGACGAATGAAGTTACAAATTAGTGGATGATAATTTACATATTTGGAACCGAATAACTGTTACGAAGTTTCTACATTTGAAATGCGGAACCAAATACGAACAGTATGCCTCTTTCGCCCTCTTCAATTGGGTGAGAGATTTTCCCGTTGACTTTCTATCCGAATCCGAGCAAGAGACATGTGTAATAATGTAAAACCAAATACGAACAAAGAAGACGGCCCCCAAGTTGCACACTGTTCCTGTTTTATGATGCCTACACCTCTTGATTCTGGTGGCTTCTTTCTGGTTTTTGGTTGATGAGTGAAGCTAGTGAGTCCTTGCGGTAAAAATTATGTATTAGTTTGTATCCAAGACATAGAACAGAACAAGCTTAGAAGAATGTTGAATCCAACATAAAGAACCCAGAACAGATACAACTTCGATGCGCAGTGCTGAATGAAACACATAAACTCAACAAATAATGAAACCGAAACTCATTCCTTAATGATGAAAATTAAACCAGGTATGTAACTTGTACCCTTCCATAAAAAAAGCCTTCAAAATTTTTGTAGTGCAGCAGTCATATCCACATGGTCGAGAATCTCATCATTAATCCAGCTAAACTTCTCCAGGAAAGGGCTGACCTTGAGTGGAGGAAGAGGGTAAGAATCAATGCAATCGCCCCAAACATTCCCATCTCCCAAATCCCTAGTCACCTCCCACACGCAGTTGTTACACTTGAAACCTGCACCGAGACTGATCATTAGTATCCTGTCACCTCTCTTCAGCCTCTTCTTGGCTTCCATGTATCCCAACGCGTACCAGAGACCACCAACCGAGGTGTTCCCAAATCGGTGCAATGCCATTCGAGATGGCTCGAGATCGTAGTCGTTCAGTCCCAATCTCTTCCCAGGCCCATCAATCACTGCCCTCCCACCAGGGTGTATGCAGAAGTGATCAATTCCTGCCTTCAGGTTAAGCCCTTGTCCTGAAGCTTCAGGTGATGGAGCATCCCTGCCTTGTGGCTTCTTTCGACGGTAAGTGTGAAGGACATAGAGCAGGAGATCCTTCACTGGGAGTATCTTGGGGACCAGAACCCTAAGGTTCAATGTTAAGGCTCTAGCAGCAACTTCAGTGAGCCCCTTTGTGAGGAGGAAACCTCCATATCCAAGCTTATCTTCCATTTTAATGCAGCAATTGTACGCATCATCATCTGCTCCCAAATGGGTTCTCACCATTTGGTTCAGTTTCATCACTGCTTTGCCCTTCAGTGCCTCATTGTTTGTGAAAAGCATTGAACATCCACCGGATCGAAACAGGCAATTCGACAGAATCATGGACCTCTCCTTCCCACAGTACCAATTGGATCCAAACGACTCTGTGCTCGCAACAATGGCCAAAGCCTTGTTGCGTGTCTTGAACAGTTGCTGGACTAAATCGACTGCCACGATGCTCGCGCTGCATCCCATCCCAGATATGTTGAACGTCTTGATGTTTTTCCTCATCTTGTACCTGTTGACAACCCTGGAAGTCAAAGAAGGTGCAGGGGAAAACATAGACACGTTGACCACTAAGATGTCGATGTCGGCTGGGGAGACATTTGTTTTGGCGAAGAGGGCGTCGAGGGTTCTGAAGGCGATTTCATCGACTTCCGAGAGGGAGTCGGAGAGCGTTGGAGCTGCTTCCCTGCCTTCGAGGATGTTTCTTGGGCAGTAAGTTCCATCGCCAATGCCAGAGCTGGCTATGGTCTGGAGGAGGAACCTGTATTCTTGCAGCCCAAGGTTCTTGTTCCTCAACGCGATCTTGGCGCAGGTTTCGGTGTCGAGCTTCCTGTCTTCAGTGGCTTTGTAGCACTCATAATGAAGCATGTAGCAGCAGGAATGTGTTCTTTTTCCGAACACGATTTTGCAGAGGTGGAAAATGATGTAGGGGAAGAGGAAGAGAAGAAAGATCATCATGGCTGGCTCAGGGGAAAAGGGATACCTAATCTATGTGAGTTCTTTTACCAGTTTCACAGGTCGGAGAAGGGATCACCATTTAAGAGAAACTCCTGCTTGGAACTTAAAGAAGGTAATAAGAAAGGTAAACGAGTTTAAGGCTGTGTTTAAGACAATGGGGTCCTTTAACTCCAATTAGTGTTTCCGAAACTTAATTACGCAGGTGATCTTGCGCTTTCATTTCACTAATGTAGGTAATCAAGGGGCCAACTGTCACTTATTGAGCTGTCAATTATAAGGAAACGATAAGACTTGTATTATTAATGAAACCACAGAGAGCTTTCGTAGACTACAAGACTCCTTGTTTAGGGAATTTTTCCTTTGTAAAACAAACCTCCAGCGGCTACAAGTTGGTGTTCTATCACCATCAAGCAAGAGAAGTACGATTTTGTCTTTTACGTGATCTACAAATGAAACTCCTATTTTCACTGTCCATGCATGGAGGTGAAGTTGATTCCCAGATTACAGAATTCCAGCAAACGTACATTTCATACCAACTGGTAATATCCTGTTGAGTTGCTCGAATTTTACAGCGAAATACAAAACTGCCTTTCTTCTAAGAAACTATGGCCGGAGAATTAGAAACGAATCCTAGAAGTTAACGGGAAGGCTGGTCAAGAAAGCTAGATTGTAAGGAGAAGTGGACTTGCCAAATTGAGAACACCACGGTGGGAGCTTTGACAGCACTCTCTTAGCTATCGGCGTCACTCGCTGAACATCTGTTCTCAACTTCAGTAGAGGCTGCTGCTCCTCCGCCGATTTATTGGCATTTTCGGTTGATTGTTTGGACTTCTTTGCCCAGATGAGGGTCAGTTTGAAGTCTCTTGGTGAGTCCTTCCCTCCTGCAAACTGAAGGATATGCCATCCATCGGTGCTGCTCTTGCTGCCTGATGGGACCAATTCTTCTTCAGAGTTTCCTGCATTTCCACCATACCACAACATGACAGAATTTTAGTACCATGGGGAGACACTGTACCGGTAGTTGAGTCGACAGTCTACTTCTCTATTACATGGAAGGAAAAGTATAAGTTCTAGTTGACAGACACCTCGGAAGCCAAAATCTAAGCATCACTAGATTAGTACCTAGTTGGTGCCTCCATCAATTTTAAATTGACCCGGAGCTAACATTACTTTATCAGTTCAGCCATTTTTGTTTTCTATGGAACTTCAAAAGCATGCAAGTATATTTTAGTCATTTCAGACATTAACTCACTTATTTTCTGAATATAAAAAGAAAAGGCAACTCCATCCAATCGTTTCGCAATGAATTACTTATTTTTGCTGACACTTGACCACTTAGACTGTTAGGTTCAGTTGACAACTTCTCACCAGCAGACCAACTGATTGAGGCAAAATGGGGTTGACATTCACCATTCTATTTCAAGTTTCTACCGGATTGACAAAATGGTTTTTGTATCCACCGTCTCATTTCAAGAACAGATTAAACATTCTTCCGGAACTAGAATTTGGTCTCGGTCATAAGATCACAAGAACAGTGCTGTATAAACAGATATCTGAATCCATATGCAATATCATAGAAAGAAAACAACCACCCACATCCACTACTAACTAACTGTCATTTTATGACAATTTCCCTTATCCCCCCTTTTCCTAAATATATAGATAGCCAGGAAGACATTGAATAAACATAGAGAAAACCTGTGGCATAGAAGTAGGGGACAATAAACCTTTGCAGAGCAGAATCAAGACATATAGGTGATGCTTAAACACATTAGACACAAGAACACAAGAGTATGAGATTGCAGGAGATGGAAGAGTTTTCTAAACATACCTTTGAGAATGAAATCTTCTATTTCTTCCATATTTACAGCAAGTGACCAGCGAGTGGAGGCTTTTGCAGCAAATGAGACTTGTGTAAATCTTTCTTCTCCCACCTTGTTATCACTATCGACATGCAACGCCGGAACATCAGAGTTACTCCACCCGTGTTCGGCTTCATCATATGTCACACAACCATACTTAACCGAGAACGTGACGAAATCGACAACTTTGTCTCTTCCACATACAAATCCTTCACTAATTTCTTCAGCCTCTTTCGTCAGCTTTCCAGGAGTTACGGAAGACAGAGAAACAAATGAAATAGGATCTTGCTTTCCGCCCTGTCTTGCCATTGTATCCACCACATGCACAACCTACCACCATAAAACAGTAGGCGTTCTCAAATGGCATGAAGAAGACCATGAACAAACAACAGTGAAATTAACTAGTGGGAAAAGCTTACATTTACAGCCCTAGCAGTGTTCTCGGTAAAGGGTGGAGTGACTCCAGATAATACAAGAACAAGTGAAATACCGAAGACCAAACTCGTTACCAGGATAATTGACTTTTTGGCACCTAGGAGATCAAGTTTCAATAGGAAATGGAGTTAAAAACTTTTTTGGTAGAATAATACAAAAACATACTACTAAATCTTCCCAGTTCTACAGTTAAAATGTAGTGATAATGAAGATCCAGAAATATGCATCCAGTCTGCAAACCAAGTTGATACCCCCACAGGCCCACACCAATATCTAGCCTCTCAAATGCCATAAATACTAGCAAAAAAAGGCCAAAGTGTAAACTTATTTTCTGTTTCAACTGTTGAAAATATGTTATCAAACATGTAAGGGCAAATACATTACAATTCACCAATCACTGTCTAGTGGACTTTCCTCAACTACCAAAGCCTTGAAGGTCAACTGAGATTATTTGTACCAAACCATGATTTGCCTCTGCTTCTATTTTGTCTGTGAAAACATGCAATCAACTAAATGCAACAATGCCCTGTCATATTCCAAGAGCACAAATAGAGAGGATACAATTTCATACCTGAAAGATGAACATATGAAAGCATGTACAAAAGAGTCAGGCATGTGACAACAGCAATGTAAGCAGAAACTATCGCGCTTGCTAACCACTCAGGAGTGCTACCGGGGCTCCTGCACAATTTGAAAGAATGCAATCATTAGACTTCAAAATATTTTTTAAAATGAAAGAATGCTGAAACCTTCTTGGTTTTAATCAGACAACCAGAACCCAAATGATTCTCCATCTTTCCTGTGTCAGGAAGGAATAAGACGACATGAGCAGTCAAGGGATAATGTAATAATCCTCTCCCTTGGCATCTAGTACTAACATAGAGCTTCATCCTAAATGCAGTGATTGCAATAATAAACATAAAACGGCATGAGCGGAACTTAAAAGGTGTTTTTCATAACACATGTTCTAAAAGCATTCTCAGTTTTACCTATCAAACCGAACAACCATCCCAATTACTGTACCAGCCAAGCGAATAAAAGTCCCAGCAGAAATCAAAACTGGTATAGCCAATCCCATAAGTAGTGTTGCAAGTTTGAGTGGCCTTGGTAACCGAGCTGGGGTCAAAGTTGCCTCAAGCAAGCCATCTGGAATAACATGGTACAAGAAATAGTTCAAAAAAATATCATGAAATACTTGATCTAAGATTTAGCTTACCAGTCCAGCAAAAAGAAGAAAAAAGATTTAGCTTTATCAGAATAACGGTTTAGGAATCATTATGCACCAAAGAACACTTTCATAGCTCTATTCCGTTCAAAGAATTTAACTCTCAAAGAGGTGGTCGGCTTTATCTTACATGAAAATGCTGGGAGAACTAGCCAGAAAAGGGCTAGATAGGATGATCCAACGCTGAAATAGTTACCAGCAGCCAGTATAACAAGCCATTGAATGAAACCAGCTTTGAACAGCCACCTCTCAGACTCTAGCTTGACTCGTACAGCTTGAACAGCTGATGGTTGTTGCTTTGTTTTGGAGTGGACATTTGATAGATACGCTCTAAGGATTAGATAACCAATATGTTGGCCAGTCAGTGCCCCAAGGAGTGCAGGAGCAGCAAATAAACCAATTACCAGCCATGGATTAGCAACATATGGCACCGGTGAGGAGGCTATTTGAGGTAGAATGAAAGCGACAAGAAGCGAGAATCCTATTGAGAGCGACCACATAAGGACAGCACTAAGACATGACAAGCCCAGTGAAACTAGCGCTGGATAACCACCCATAAGTAATGAAGTGGACCATATTAGAAGTGACTGCATTAAGACTGAATTTTGCATCATGCTCGCGAACCGTTGCTTATAGACAACCATATAGGTACCCTGAAATTAATAAATGCAAACTTCAGTTAACATATGGGTCAAACTTCATAATGCAGGAATCCAAACACAATTTCAGAGTCCAATAGATTAGTACCAATATGTCAAAGAATACGGCACTTTCGTGGATGGTGTTTCCATCTTCTGTATTTGCTTTATTCGTCTGAATATCAGAGGATGAAGCAGCCTGGATCAGAAAAGCCAGCATGTTGTCTCCAAGATGCTGAAGTGATCCACTCTTCAAAAGCTCTAATTTGTCATTCTGCACCAAGAAATCTCATATAAAAACAGTAATGTATAAGATGGCCATGCAATTGAGTTATTTGCGTTTCCCTACTTTCTCACAATAAACACCCATTTACCGCAACAGAAGTTCAAAACACTTAAAAGATCTCTAACAATACAATACTATTATTAACAATATTATTCTTTCACTATCATTATTATAATCATTAATAATCAGTTTTTTAGTTGACAGAGGGCTCTGGCACTTGCAACAACATGCCAGGAGCGTGAAAAGCATGCAACAGCATACTGAAAACATTCTGCTACACATCAATCTAACAAATATACACCTTGAAATTCAACACAGTCTCTTCTTTCCTGCACATTCGAATGGAACCCGAACTGTTATAGGCTATACTTGACCTTTTCCCCATAAACAATATCTAATTGACTTACGTCTATCGCTAGCAAGGTTGCCAGGTTAATGCTTCAATCTCCACCGGAAAAGGCGGAAAAAAGTGTAATTTTTTTTGGATAAACTGAAGATGGATGGAACTCAAATGCTTTTCAGATAAGAAAAAGAATGAGGAGTGGAAACAGTAAATACTACGACACCTTAGTGTGATACACAGCATTGTTATCAGTGTAGGCAAAGTCGAGCCCTGATAGCCCAGCAACCTCCTTGTATACTTGGAAATCTGTAGCAGATTTAATAAATCCAGAAGCAAAAAGATCCTGCAGAAATAATTGCTGAAGTGACCAAAGAAGCATGTGGGACATTTACTATACTCAAAAAGTTCAAATGATGACCACACAAACCTGTGCTATAATGTTGGCAGAAGGGTATTTAGCTGCTGATGCAAATTTTTCAATTGCCCAAGGATGAGGCCCAGCCTGTCGGGTTAAGGAAAAATTATTGAAACAAGTCAGAAAATTGAGCACAGTATAAGAGCCCCAGATAAAAAAGAGATGACTAACTGGTTGTTTGTTCTACCCTTGATAGGGGAATGGTGGGACAGATTTGAAGACACTGATGAATCTAAGGTTTAGGTCATAAAATGTATACTGTTATAATCCCAGATAAGTCATCATTTTAGAACCTTATGAACGACCATTTGGCCATCATCCACCATATTAACCTACAAAGCCTCTCTGTGTACAAGATGCTTGCTTGCTTCTGAAAACAAGATATGACATTCTAATTAGTGGAGATCTTCTTCCAGCTATTGAAAAGTTAATCACCAGTTACGATGCGCAGGGGTATGCCAACTGAATCAGAGTTAATGTCACTAGCAGCATGGCCAAGCTCTACTTATATTGTTTTACTCTACTTGAAGAAAACGAAACGACCATACACTGGCTCTCAGTTGTTACCTTAATATTACACTGTTCACGTCCATATTAAATCGAAATGCCTTGAGTTTGTTGTTTCAGTAATGTACACGAATTATAGGAAAATGGGTGGGTAAAAGTCATCCTGAACTCCCAAGTCCCAAAGCCTAATTCTTCGTGTTCCACAACAAGGTACTCAAGAAGAAGAAACAGCTATAGTTAACAGTCATAATGGAATGAGTACCTGAAATATGCTAGACTTTCCTCCAATGCCCATGGCCTCCAAATCAATAGCCATCCTAATAGTAGTATTCCAGGGGTGCTGCACCAGTCAATAAAAACAAGGGAGCAGTGAGAATAATGCAACTAATAGCCAAACCCCTGAATATCTCATTGGGACCAAATACCGAAAACAGAGTATATAATAAAAGAGGACAGACCTCATCAATCAATTCATTTGAAACCTCATCAATAAATTCATTTGTCTAGACAAATGAAATGAATGAAAGATCATTTCTTTAACCATCACAAATGAGAAATAAGATAATCTCAGTAGATGCAGAACCAGTGAATAAGAATTAACAATGCCTTCAACCTGAGTTATAAAGCTGTGCGCACCACTGAGACCTTCTTCCTCGCCTGTGTTGAACAAGAATATGACTGCATTCTTGAATCCATGGGCCCACTGAGAAATCCCCCGGGCGAGTTCTAACATCACAGCTACACATGAACTGCAATCTCCAGCACCTTCTCTACAACACCAGATTTTGCGAGTTAGAAGAGATCTGACAACTATGGCTCACCAGAATGAACACACTAATATGACATTTATCAGCTGACACAGTCCCATCCCAGGGTTGATCGCAGGAGAAAAAACTCAAGGTAAAGAAGATAATTGGAGTTCATTTAAAGAGAAAAACAATATGTAAGCAACATACTCTAATGATGATAGAAACAGAAATAAGAAGGCCCAAATGTCACCACGCTACTCATCTAAACAGGAAATAACAAAAGACATGTTCCAGGTCAAAGTAAAAGAAAGCATACGCTGAGAATACAGTGTCAATGTGAGAGGAGACGAGAATAGCATCTTCAACTTCAGATGAATATTTTGGCAAGATTCGTAATACAACGTGATTAAGATCTGAATAAACAAGTGTTTTCCCCACAAAGAGGCCACTGGCCAAGCTATTTGCTCCTGATTTTGAATGGAAAAGGTCCACTTCCACGGCAACCTCCCAGTGAGCACTTTTCTTGATTGCTTCTGCCACTGCCATAACATACTGTTGCAGAGGGAAAATCTTAAACGACTTACTAACAGAACTCAGAGACTCGTAAGGGCAAAATCAGTACTGAACGAGTCAATAGCAGAAGTAAGGAAAATGGAAACCAAGACCAACATAAGTGGCTAAATTGTACAAGAATCCAATCCTTGTTTCCCAACTAGCCTAGGCATTGGACAGCAGGCAGCCTTGGTGCCTAATACTAATACTGCTACAACTCTCCGTTTATAGTTAAAGAAGCAAGAACGCAGATGATGCATCTATTTCCTACAATAATACTTCAAAACAATTACTTTGCAGAACTTAGCAACTTTTCCTACTCATGGAAATTCAATAGCAGCTAAGCTAAAAAAAAAAAAGCACTGCCACAAATTACTACTTCGTTTGGAACGCTGCCATGGAATTGCCAAGAACAGAACAATTGCCAAAACAGTCAATGCATAGCGATAAGCTGGGCGGAAATAAAATTAACATGGTCCTCGACAAAGCCATTACCTGGAGAGCACGATCAAGCGCATCAGAAGCAACAGGGTGAGGTCCAAGTTGAGTCAAGGCCCGAACGTGCTTCATAGCTTCCACCTCGGAGAAGCCTCTTTTCCCGGCCTGCGCCGCCGTCAGAGGCGGAGGCAAGCTCTCGTACTGGTACTCGTACACCGCCCAAGACGAGTACATCAACAAACCGAACAAGACCAGCCACACGAATCCGGACCTTCTAGCCCCGAGCATAGCGTCGATCGGGACTCCACCGCCGTCACCGGAAGCGGACGGAGCGTCACCATCGCCGTCCCTGTTCGGTGGTTGGCTCGTCGATTTTGCCGACGAATTCCCCGGACGCTTTCGCATAGCTCTGAGAAGGAATTGGCGTGTGATCCTGGGGGATTGGTAGATGGTTCAGTAGAGCAAGGACTGTGTTTGACTTGGCTTTTTACCGGCGATTTGATACGCGGATCCTCGGCGAGCCCTCGATTTAGTAGCTGCCGTACCGAGGGAATCTGCGGATTCTGAGTCGATCGATGATAGTAATTTTGCGGAATAGCTTGGTGGTCCTGGTGCACAAGCACAGCGCCACGTAGCAAGTGCGAGCTGATGGGGATGGCAATTAATAAGTCCGAATTGGCTGGCTCTGCCTCTCCCTCCAATGGAAGTGAAAGAAAGAGCCACGTGGAAATTGTTAAAAAGAAGACCAGCCGCCACTGTGGAAATTAATCTCAGTTCTTTTTTTTTTTACTCTGGCTTATTATCAAATGAATTTATATGTCCCACAAAAAAAAATGAATTTATATGTTTGGAACATCACATTTGAATCATTAGAAATAAATTGACTTGAATTCACAAATCGTATGTTGGAATACTTTCAGAATTTAATTAAATTCAAAGTTTTTAATTATGCCCTTACTAAATTTACAGCAAAAACAAAATCGATATTACTCACTGTCAATCTTCTAAAAATACAATTGTCGAAGTTATCATCCAACAAGTTCTTCAAATCAAAAATAGAAATTGGTAAAACCTAGTAAACAACTTCAAGATCCATCTTGTAAAACCCTAGTGTCAAATACTATCATCCAACCCATTTGACCTAGCAAAAAATAAAGTTCGTTAAAATAGTAAACGACTTCAAGATCCTTCTTCTAAAAATATTAGGTTAATTAGCGGCTGGAGCGAGCAAGGTAAGGAGCCAAATTAGTAAAATTATATATATGAGGTCATTTACTCCATAATTGAGGATAATTATGTCATTTTATCATATCTAGCAAAATACTTGTGGAATTCATTTGGGAATTCCAGCTCAATTATTCGAATTGCTAAAACTAGCCTCAATTTCGGAGAATTAAAAATCTTGAATTGAAAATGAAATCTTTTATATTCCAAACACAAAAAAAAATTCATTGCAAAATTAATTTATCAAAACATAAAAATTCATTTATATCAAACAGTATGTTAATATTAAAAGACATGCAGTAAAAATTTATGGTGTTTTCAAAACTAAAATTCTTCTATGGTCATTTAAGTTGGTACGGTACATTAAAGTTATGGAAATAAAATGTCCATCAATCTTAAGAAATTAAATTGGTAATGTCAAATAGATCGGTTTTGGCCTCTTTTGGGGCAAAGAAAAAGAGGGTTTACACTAATGAGTATTGGTGCAGTAAAAATTTTCTTAATGTGAAAAGAAAAAAATTCTTTTACCAATATGCGATAATTATTTTAAGTTAAATTTATCCATTTTCAAATGTAAGTCGATCGAAATTCAATGACACATAATGATAAAATGAGGTGTCATTTTCACTAGATTCAACATATAAAATAAAAAATAACCAAATAATAACATATGTATTTGTCTTTCTATCAAATTTTCAAGTGAGTTCATTCAAAATGAAAGATTTCATATGAGTTTCATTTAAATTCATGGGTCTTAGATGTGAGATCCAAAATGAAAAAAAAAATATATCTAACTGTTACGTAGATAAATTTACACATTTTCTTTTACGATTGGGTCCATGGTCCCACGAGCCATAAGATGGCTATGTCGCTGCTAACGGATTAGCCAAATAGTAAGGTGCGATGAGAACATCTATTACTCCTACAATAATGCTACCTGCTTTCAAAAGCAATTTAAACATGATGGTAGAAGAGATTCGACCGGGAATTTAAGTACTAAACATATAAGCAAGCTCATAGATTGAGCTTGGATTTGGATTATACATGATAACACCAACAGCCTACTTCAGGTCCTGACATGTGAGCAAGACATGCCACAAATTACAAAAGAGTGAAGAGATGTGGATAATAAGTGGAGTTACTAGATACATTGTATAGGAACCATACGAACTGGGCGTAGCAAGGTCAAAAGAAGCATTATAATGGAAGAAAGGGTATATATGGTGATTGGCTTTCCTACTTTAGAGAATTAAACAGAGGCGATTAGGCTTCAGCCTCTTCTTCTTCGGTTTGGGAGGGTGCAGAACAACCTTGATCGCCGCATCAAACACTGCCTTCACATTGTGTTGTGTCTTGGAGCTGCACTCTAGGTACAGCACTGCACCTATCTTCTTCTTCAGTTCTTCTCCCTGCAAATTGATCGGCATTTTCGTTACCTGAACAAAAATGAATGCTCTTCCTTACTTAAGTTGAAATAGTTTTAAGTAACGAATGATCTTGCCTGTGCAGCTGTGATCCTGGTTGCGCCCGGATGGTCAGTCATGTACTGCTTGTCATCTCTTAAATCTGCATCCACGTCCCCATGTTGTATTTGTTAAATTAGTCATGAACCAGGAACTAGAGAAAAACCATGTGTAGCAAAAAAGGGAACATTTGCTAAATAGGCTTCTTGTTCAATCTTACCAAGTTTGGTTCCGACAAGCACAATTGGGATGGTTGGAGCATAGTGTTTCAGTTCATGAATCCACTGCATCGCATTCAAACAGAAAATCATTTTTGGAAAACATCACTTAGATGACAGATAATGTAGTTGTAGAAAGGGTGGTGCAAAGAAGGAAATGAAGAAGAACCTTCTTGGAGATGTTTTCATAGCTGGGTCTGCTAATAAGCGAGAAAGCCAGCAAGAAGACATCAGCACCTCTGTAACTCAATGGCCTCAACCTGTTGTAGTCCTCTTGTCCTGCTGTGTCCCATAATCCCAAGCTCACTGTGCTGCCATCCACCATCACATTCGCACTGAAGTTGTCGAACACCGTCGGAACATAATCCTATATCAACAAGAACACATTACAAGAAGGCAAAACAAAAACAAAAAACATGAAAGAGGTGAACATTAGTGTGCATATGCATCATTACGGTAGGGAAGGTGTTGCTAGTGTAGGAGATGAGCATGCATGTCTTCCCAACGGCACCATCCCCAACTGTGACGCACTTGATGAACCTACTAGCTGTGCTCATTCTTCCTGGTTTTCAACATCAAGTTGAATATAACAGAAAGCTCAGCAATTTGGTATATATAAAGAAGAGGGGTGTTGGGATGATATTCAAATTTCGAATGGAGAATGGAGGGTACTGCAGATGGGGGCAAGAGGGGAATTTAGGTGGTGATTACCATACCAAAGGGAACCAACAAAAAGTAAAAAGTGAAAGGCACTCAAGAACTTTAGTTGGACCTTCCTGCCTCTTCTTTTTTGGGGTTCAAAATGATTGCCCCCAATGCATGCCTTGGTGGGTTTCTGTTACTTCAAGGGGAAGTTCATAAGCAAGAGAAGAGGCTGTCCACGAAGGCAAACAATCAAAGAAAGAGCACGAAATTCAATTCAATGTGTGGGGGCGGTTGTTTGGTGCTGGTGGTGGTATGTTAGTTGGTTAATTGCTGGGCAAGGGAATAGATTAAGATCATGATCACATTGCAAATGATCCTTCTTTTCAATTACACAAATCATGTCTCATCATCATTACCATCATTTTTTACTGTTGCAAATTTTCTTCTTTTTCAAGGAACTAGTGAGAGAGAGAAAAAATCTTGATAAGTCAGAATTATGAAGATGAGAAGAGAGAAGTGCTTGCTTACCACTTTGTTTGATTGGGATCACTCAAATGGATTGCTCGGTTTGACCATTCACACTCATCCACCACGGTTATCCGGCCATCATAGTGAAACAATAGGACGGTGAAGTTCTCAAAGAACTGATTTAATATATACAAGTTAGTGATTGGGAAAACAAGCTATAGTGGTAGTAAAAAGTGTATGTGGGATTAGACTGACCTTTTCAACGGCTGAACTTGATATTATTTCTCTGTTCATAACCAATGGTGAATGTCACTAGATACTTCAGTTGCACGACCAAGGCCTACGAATGCCACCCCCATCAGCAAAAGAGCAGCATAAATAAGAAAAGAAAGAACTTGGTCTGGAATAACAGACCTCAGAGGGCATACCTCACAATCGTCGAAGAAACAAGTCTGACTCAGAAGTTACAGTACTAGGAGGTAAACTCTCAGCACCTTTAGGAATTTCATTGATCCATATATGCATTAGTTGAACAAATACAGCTTGTCCTCAAGAAAATTACAGGACACTACAGATGGTATGTACCTCGGTTCCATTGTATGGTGAAATAACAAGGAATTCATACTAGGTCTCCTTAGAGAGGACAAATGATTGAGCAGTTCTTGTAACTAAAGACTGGAGTACTTGTCCTCCATATAAGCGATGTCAAAGGACAGGAAGCCAACCGGTTGGAAGATTCATCTACCAAATCCCAAACCCATTCCTTAATCAGAAGAAAAATAGCCAACAGTATTGGCAAGGAACCTTTGAGAGGAAGGGTGTTGGTAAAGATATTCCCAAGAAGAAGTTAAAGAGAATGCCACGAGAAGTTGACATGAAGAGCTTCGTCATTTCACTAGGTTTTCGGATATTTTATTTCCGCTGCAGAGAACAAGAGAAACTAAGTACATTAGATATGAATTTCCTCGCAGTTTGATCCATCTCCGCCAAAAGAAGCAGGTCAAGTTTCCTTCTAATGGGCAGTAGCATTATAAGTCCTACGCTTCTGATTCAATGAGCAGTAATATGAAATTAAAAAACTAGTGGGATCAGCCACTGCACAATGTCATCAACTGCAATTCAATCTGTAAAGAGAACCCTTTCATAGTGCTTCAGAAGATCAAGCTTGAAGCAAGCAGCAGTTGTCGAGGGGAAAGGGGGAAACTTCCTTTCGTCACAGAGCATCTCCAAAAACCATTGTAAACATCAACCCAATTCAATTCTACATCTATACAAAATGATCCATAAACAAAAAACCCGGTTCAGTGCCAAGAGATGACCAATCCAAGGCAAAAAGACAGACTCTGTTTCTCTGAAATAACATTTACAATGATCGCTTGAACACAGAGGCAGAAAGCAGACGCAGAATGGTTAACCAATTCTGGGGGGGGGGGGGGGGGGGGGGGAATTGTAAGGAAACAAGAAACATAGTTTCCATTGCACTCCAATACCGGGAAAATGCAATTTGCATGAACCCTTGAACAAGAATTCCACCATCCCAAACCAGAAGCTGGGGGAGCTTTCCTTCTTTCCGCGAAACAGAACAGTTTAGGGGGCAACAAAACAGGCCAGTATAAATCAGCCCCGCCGGCGGTCATCCTGTTATCCAAGCCCCAGGGCCCAGGTGGTGTTATACAAAACCGGAAAAAATTTCGCCGACGATTCGAGAGCACGATCTTTCGCCCGCCGTAGAGGGGGAAAGGGAAGAATAAGACGAAGTAAAGCTTTGACGCATTGGCCTGGAGTCGATGGGCGCCGGAGGCGCTGACGGAGGTGGAAGAAGATGTATAAAGTTCTATTAACTGTTTATTTTGTGTATTTATTTTCGAAGGAAAAGATAATGATAGATCGAAACGGGGTGTCAGCCCAGTGGGGAGAGCCCATAGATGGGCCCAATAAGGGGAGTTTCTCCATGTTGTTAAGGGTAATAGAAGAGAAGAGACACTCTGGAAAGATGTAGAAGATGAATCGGTAGCTGGCTAAGGGAAGGGGAGCGGGCTGTACAGTTCAATTGGGGAGTTCGGACTTCGGATCCCAAATCGGCCGCTGCAGCTGGGGGAGAGAGTGTGGAGCTCTTTCTTTCCCTCTCTCCATTTATACAATCGCCATCGTCAACACGGAAAGAGCTCCTTTTCACTCATAACACAACAAGGAACTCATAAGTAGAGAAGAAACTTTAGGTGCTAGCTTGATACGCCAAATGTCTGGTCTGCACCGATCTTCCAGCGCTCCGTTGAAGAACGGCCATGGCGGCCTTCCTCCTCAGGAACTTCTCGATGATCTCTGCAGGTTTAGTCACCGAACTCCGCTCTTCTCTTTCCTCTTTGCTTGTTTCTTCGTCCGTTTTCCCCCTCTCAATTATTGTGTTGTTTCTCCCCAGAAAGCTGCAATGTGCTTGTTCAGTTGCTTTGAATTGTCAGTGTTAGAGATTGGTGCTAGTTTCATCTTTGGTTGTCTAGAAAGTGAAGATTGTGAGGCTTCCTGCCTTCATGCTGTTTTGAGCCGAAAGAAACTGAAGGAAGTGAACTGAGCTTGGTTTAGTAGCTTACAGATTTGTTTGAATTGCCATGGTTGTCTTGAGCTTGTATGAGGTCTGGATCGTGGAATCTTCAATTTAAGGCCATCAGTTGAAACAAATGGTGCTAAGGCTGTTTAGTTTCATCAGCTGGTTAAACACATGCCTAATTTTCTTTTCGCATTTATGATTGTTCTGAGATCTGTCGTATAATCACATGCGTTCAAGGCTTGGTGCTGATTCATGATCGAAAATTACTCTTGTTCTCCTTCCCCAGATATGTCTTCGTTTTGTTTAGTTTCACAAAATTTTTTCTGATATATATCTTTGTATATTGCAGCCGGTTCGTTTTGAATGTGCCCCAAGAGGATCAACAATCCTTTGAGAGAATTTTATTCCTTGTGGAGTATGCACATTGGTTCTATGAGGACAATTCTGTAGAAAACAATCCATCATTGAAGTCATTCAACTTGAAGGAATTCACCTCTTTGTGTATCCTTAATCAAGTCTAATGTAACTGGTTTCTGTTTATTTACTCAGCTGTTCCTTTTTGCAGTCCGTTTACTGACAGCCTATGCGTATATAGTTTTGTATAGTTTCCTCTTTAATATGTTAGATTGCATACAGAGATGGTGCTTCTGTAAGTCTTACTCGCGAAAGTGTAGTGATGGAATAAGGTGTGATTTTCGGTCACTTGCATCTTAAGGACTTGCATATTTCTCCGCGGTGATGCACTTTTTTTCATTTTTCCTTGCTAAGTTTATGTATGGTGGTTCCTGAGGGCTGTTTTGGAAGCATGCCAAGTCTTAATTTCACTTTCGAATTATGTTTCTCTTCAGTTATTTTGTCTAATTCATCAATGGTCGCTGCTCTATTTTTCTCACTAACTTTTGTTTTAACCTTACTCCTCCACTCTTTTCCAGTGTTTAATAGCGTGCTGCTTTACCAACTGTATGTTTCTCATAATAGATGACACATTAGCGATTTTATCTCTGTTTTTTTGCACTCATCACTTTTCTGTCTATTTCAACCATTTTCCTTAATGGTTTACAGTATTTAATAGCTGTGATGTTCTACGACCATATGTTCCTCATATTGATGACATATTCAAGGATTTCACCTCGTACAAAGTTCGAGTACCGGTAACTGGGGCAATTATTCTGGATGAGACCTATGAACGGGTGAGTAAGAAGCATCAACTCTTCTTGCTGTCAATGCTGTTCTTGTTTAATAATTTGTTATGGATGTGACTGTCATTGGCGAATATGTAACTTCCTCTTCATTTTCTATGTGCCCGATATTGGTATTGCTAATGCATTTTTATCTCATTGGTTCTTACGATCATCTCAAGCTAACTCTAACTTAATAAAGAGGAAGAGCCATATGTAGTTAGGATTGTATAAAGTTCCATGTGACCTTTCTCTATAATAGCCATGAATTAAGAGACTTAGTGCCCTTAGCCACAACTTTTTTTTGACATTTGAGGTATCACCGTGGCTACAACTTTAATAGATTGATATTTAGACAAAGAAAACTAAATTGAGCAGGTTTAAAAACTATTGCTTCTTTGCTCATATGACATCCATATCAGGCTGGTGTAGTCTTCAGTTATGTAATTAGGTGGCAATTCAACATATTAAGATTTTATTTTTATAGAGTAAACCAACAATTTTCTTCTTCTAACAGTGCCTGCTGGTGAAAGGGTGGAAAGGGACCAGTTGGAGTTTCCCACGGGGTAAAAAGAACAAAGATGAGGAAGATCATGCATGCGCTATCCGAGAAGTATGTTCTTTTCCCCCATGAGTCCCAATGTGTTTGAGGATTTAAGTAGTAGCTCTGGAAGCTTATCCACTAGCTGTAATAGTTTGGTTGCCCAATTCATATCATGGGTAATTGTTCATCCACTTACAGGTCTTCGAGGAAACAGGTTTTGACGTTTCAAATCTTCTTAACAAAGATGAATATATTGAGGAAATATTTGGACAACAGAGGGTTCGGCTTTACATAATCGCTGGTGTCAAGGACGATACTACATTTGCTCCACAGACCAAAAAGGAGATCAGTGTATGTGATTAGTTGGAACTCCCAATCCCTTGTTACTTGATCTGAATCATTCTGATACCTACAATGAAATAACACCAATAAAGTGTTCCTTCAGGGCTTTGAGTAGATGTACTCATATGTTGTTGAGTTGATTTCTATTTTCCATTGATTTTCTTCCCTTTGGTAGTGTTTTGTTCATAATTCTTAGCTTATGGACTTGTTTGGTGATTCAACTACCGCCATATCATGCATCATTCATGAGCAACCCTTAGAATAGGAGATGCCAAAGTTGTGAGATATCTGAGATTGAGCTAGATGAACAGAGAATAACCTTTACATTCTATGAGTTTGTATTATTTATGGGGAATGTTTTCTAAATAAGCATGCTGCTTGCAGGAAATTGCCTGGCAGCGACTGGATGAGCTCCAGCCAGCAAATGATGATGTAATATCACGTAGTATCATCGGCCTCAAACTTTACATGGTTGCTCCATTCTTATCGTGAGTACTCTGGCAATGCTTTTTGGTCATTCTCAATTAGTTGAAGGCCTTTTCCTATACTACCTACTTACTTGTCTCGTAGGTCTTTGAAATCATGGATTTCATCACATCCGCCCTCTATGGCACCAAGACCTGATCTCCCTCTCAAAGGTTCCACTTTTCTTCACCCACATTTTTCACTATTCCTCTTTGGCATTTTTTCCATCTTAGTCCCTGCTGATACGGGAGTTCTAATTTCCCCCCATGGTTGAAGGTGTATCCATGTGGAAAGCAAGGAATAGCTCTACAGTAGGCAGCACAAGCACAGCAGTATTGGAGAGCCAGTTGACTAAGCCCAAATCTGATGCTCATCATCAGCATCCTCCTCCTCATCCTCCCTCTCCTCCCGACACGGGGCCTGGCGAGAATTTCAGACACTTCAGATTTGACAAAGCTGCAATCCTCAGAGCAGCTGAAGCTCGTTTTTCGTGACCTTTTCGCTCGCCCCCCTGTAAATGATCTATGCTTACATAGATGGATTAGAGCATTTGACATGTATAACTGCTAGCTTGCCATCATTCCTCAGTCGTCCTCAACGTGTTAGCTCTGATGTATATTGGTTCATGTTAGAAAGTTCCGGATGATGGGTTTCGTGTAAATCCTGTATAGGAGTCCATCCCGTTTCGTGTTAGAAAATGAGCAGTTGTGATCTATTACATGTTTGGATTTTGACGGAAGGAAGTAAATGGTAATGGCATTTCTTCGTCCCTCTCAAGTCCTAGTTGTTGAAAGCCTGATCACTTTGAAGCCGTCTGACTGAACACCTGCATTTTGTTTCTGTCTGTTCTTTTGCAGAGTTCCCGTAAACCTGGAGAGGAGATTGCAGCTTCGTCTTGTCGGGGTTACTACTCTGGCATTGCAGTGGCTCTTGAGCTTATTACAGGCTTAAGCAGCTTTTGTTTTCTCTTTTGGAAAAATGACTGGTACCTACTAGTAACATGTAAGGGCATCGTGATTCGTGAGTGACTTAAAAACTGATGCTTGTTGTGGGTTCTCATGATTGTTGGGATGAGTTGACATGAAAACAGGACTGATTTGAATTGTGCCGGTCTCTAGTTCATATTCCATTGTACATGGAAACACGAAATGACCTGCAATAATGTTAGTTTCGTCACCATCAACATTTAGCTAAAAGAAAACACTTGCTGCCACTATCTCTGCTAGGAATTTTCTTTTCTGTGTCTGTGTGATTACTGCTTGTGTATATCATCACTGGTTCATTCCGATTTGTCGCCACAGTGCTGCTGCTTTTTTCAGAACCTTAATACATCAAATGATTCTGCTGTTTGTGGCGGGCTTGCGGGTGGTCCAGAGCAAATTATTTTGTATCGACTCAAATCGTGGATAGTTAGTGGGATTCCCAGCCCACTTTTTGTCATGTGGACGTCGAATGCCTGTCCGTCCTCTATAGCGCCATTTATGCCCGTCCAGGTTGTGTCAGACAAGATATCCCATGGTCCTAGTTATGGGCCACCTCGCTCGATGTTCTTTTCCCCTCTTTTAATCTTGTTCCAGAATCATTGTATGGGAGGTGGGGGGGAAAACCTATCAATGAAGAGTTGGGAGTGCTTGCTGCTCTGTTTGGTTTCAAGAGTTTTACATACCAATGATTGTAAAACGGCACCGGAGATTGTATCGAATAAGTTATTGGTAGGGTATTTTAGTACCATAGAACTCGAGGGTTATCAGTATTGCCCCTTAACTACGACATGGATGTGTAACCGCGGGTAAGCACATACATCTACATCAGAAGTTGGCGCGCGCAGCTGTTTCACTCCACTGTCATGTGATGCAAGCAAATTTAGATTGGCAGAAAGTAAGTACTGGTGTGGAGAGTTGCGTGAGGAGAATATAGAAAACGTTGGAGAAAATGAAAGGTGTGCATGGGGCGGACCACTTTCGGCAAAGGGAGGGGGACCTTTGTGGGTATGCATTGATGAAGAAGAAAGTTATGGCTAAGGCCACTCAGTCTCCTCTTAATTCAACTGGTTCGGACAAGCAACCGGTCCTCCAATTTTTCTGTGGCCCGGCCCTCATCTCATCTATATCCCAATTCAATTATTGTCGTAGGCGCGGGAATTATTGAACATCAGTTCCCTCTTTGATTTGTGATCTGTAGACGCAAAGGATAACAAATACAAGACAGGATGCAGCACAAGTGGATATTGTTTAAGCAAAGGAGGATTGTCAGCATTATATATGTTGATAAAGAGAATATTTAGTCTGTAATGGGAAGCTAGCTTACTAAAAAGTTATCTTCAGGTTTATTGGATTCCATCGAGCTTTTTGGCACTTTCTACGTCTCTCAAGTCTCTGTCTTTGAGTTGAAGGAAAGCAAAGAGTACACTAGCAATCATATCATGGGTGGGTTGGGTGGATGGACGAGTAGTTATTAGCTAAGCAAAGATGAAAACGGTAAGAAATTTAGATGGCAAGAGAAACGGGAAAAGGAAAAAAAAAGTTTTGTTATGAAGGGAAATTATGGGGTTGGGTCTGACGTGGAGATGAGACATCACTGTGCTTTTGTTGAGCTGGATTTCCCTTGTACACTTGCTTGCTTTTGGTGATTGTGTATGTGATCAGATTAGTCGCTAGCTGTATACACCCTAAACATATCTCACTCAACTCTTGTTCCTGCGTTTGCGTATATGATGATGATCATCATGGTGTACATGGATAGATTTAATCGCCTATGGTACAACCTCATCAATTTTCTATAAGATATCAATTATATATCAGCAACGTCCGATAAACATAAATCGAGCGATAGAACGTACAGTATGAAAGAAGAAGATGAAAGAAGTTGGAGAAGAGCATAATAGAAGTATGTATAGGTTAGGAGACCTGAAAGGGTTTGCGAGAGAGATAGAATGCATGACACAGAAGAATCGTATACTTGTTACTATATCACATAACGAAAACTTATTTATTTCTTCAAAATTAAATTCTTTCATTCAAGATAATGTTGATTTGTTGGAACTCGGTCTATCTGGTTCGCGTGCTGGTGTCTCGGCTAGGACAATTTGCCTCGATTCTACATTACCATACCACTTTATGTAATAAAAACACGATGAATCCTTAATATTTAATATTATAATAATGGATATGTGCATTCATACATCGATTTTGAAAAATTGTTTTACAATTATGAATCAATTTTCCTATCTTAAAAGACAATTATGTGTGTTGTGGAGCCCGCAATTGATTTGGAGCATGTGCCGAAAGCTTAGTTATATGAAGTGAAGTAGTGGTGCTTTAATTGAACTACATATATATGCAAGCAACGGTCGTAATGTAAATTCTGAATACCAAATTAGAGAGGGACGAAGAAGGATTCGATTGTCGGCAAGTTAATTATGGTAATTGGCTATTTGACATTGATAGTGATAGAGTGATATATGTACCCTTCTCCTAATTAAACTCAGAGTCGTGTTAATTATGTATTCGTGCAAGTTTTAGAAAACGAGCTGATTAACGAACCAACACACCTTCATCATGCGTACGTGGACATTGGACTAGGTATTTTCCAAGAGGATTCCAGCTCGGCCAATTGAGACAGCCATGGCCATGTGAAGGCAGGCTAGCTAGATTGCATGCATGCAACAAAAATGTTTTATTTAGAGGTTCGGATGCAAGTAAGGTGTTCCTTATGCGACGACGGATTGAGTTGACATCTAAATACCGTCTAGGTATAATAAATAAAAATTTAAGCGGGCAATATGAATGAAAAAAAAAAATAAACATCATGGGTAAATTCAAGATTCTTTTCTTGTTGTTTGTTGAAAACTACTCTTTCAACTCATCCAGCTCCCAACGTTCATTTGTTCATCCAAAACCGTCAACCCATTTGTGGCCACAACTTTTAGGGACAGGCTGGACAGGCAGCCTATCCACAACAAAAAGACAGGACAGAACCGGCACACCATCGATTACTCCTAATCTCATCGCATCCAGCGGTTTGGAATGCTCCACCTGTCTGTTCCTTCCTTCTCACTCTCTATTTTTGACTTCTCTTCCCTTTTTACTATTCGGTTGGTTTGGTCGGTCGGTAAATTGATGAAGACTCCAGAACCCTAGCCAGAGAGAGAGAGAGAGTATACGTGACTGTTCCAAAGCGCCACGTGAGCAGCTAATTTAAAGCTCCTATCTTGATTTGTATTTTTCTTGGGGGTGGTTTGTCTCCAAGTTTCTGTTTATTTATGGTTTTTATTATTATTTAAGCTAGCTGTTAAATATGGGGAACACACAGATTGATGAAAGTTGGTAAACCTACACTGTGATAGTGCGTGCATCACTGCTTATTATCATGCAGTAAACTAGTTAGCACGAGGTCGCCACTAAGTCACACAAGTGGATACTAAATTATAACCACAGCTCCGCAGTAACACTTAATTACTCAATCAAATTTTACGTCTATCCATTTTGACAATTACAACTGATCAGAGGAAAACAAAGAGTGGACACTGGGCAAGAACGAGTGGTGGGGGGAGTCGGTGGGTGGACGGTGGTAGTGGGCTTAGGCTTGGGCTCGGTTTGAATTCCACCGTAATAATGCCACCGGCCGGCCGGCCCGGTGAAGGCGAACCTAACCCTACCTTCCAAACGGTAACGAGGAAAATGTTTTCTTGTTTTTCCAGCGTCCAGTTGGTCGTCGATGAACAAGGAATAATAAAAGTGACTAATAATCAGACCACAAGGGGGGAAAAAAGAAGCGCCATTAATTAGCATGAAATTAATTGCAGAATAATGAGATTGGACTAGAGATCCATCAAAGCTTCCCATGGGATCCTTGCTTTCTCGAGTTGGTCCTTTTCAGTTGCCTTTCTTTGATCTTATGGCTTTGCAATTGCATAGTTCCTTCTTCCCCAGGGTTTCTTCTGTTCACAGCAACGAGAAGCTTCTTCTGTGGGTTTTTTCTTGGGTGTAAATATGTTATAGACTCATGATAAAAACTCAATTACACAAATAAAGAACTATTTCAGATTCATAATATAACAAATTCATCATGAATTCAATTTTTTTCGAAACTTAAAATTCTTATTCTTTATATTCAACAAGCAAGCAAACGATCCTTAAAAACTAGCCTGGTGATTATATAAGTGGAAGGGAGAAGGAAAAAAAATCATAATGCAAAGTCACATAACAACCGTTGCCAAATTGAGGTAATTGTGGTACAATTTTTGTATAAAATTCAAATAATTAGTCATCATTTGTAATTTCAATATATCTAGTAACAAAATATCGGTTAATTATATGCTTACTTAGTATGTGTAAGCATATAATTAATGAACCATGTATAAAATTAACGAACCATTCATAATTCATTTGACGAAGCAAGATGGACTAAAAGTATAAAATCATAACTTTTTCTAAAGATCAAAGCTAAAAATCATAACGAAACGAGCCACATGAACAATTTATAACATTTTTTCAAAATATACATACGCATATTATAATCTCAAATAAAATACTAAACGGAAAACATAACCAATTATGAGGCCACCATTAAAATGATCTATAGATCTTACTGTTATTTACTTATTTTCCTTTAACAGAAACGTGCCATTTCCATTTGTAGTATTTAAAATAAACTCAATTCATTCGATAGAAAGAAATGATCATTTGAAATTCATCGGAAAATACTATTATCATGAAATCCGAAAGGGAAAAATCAAAAAATGAGGAAAACGAAAAACCTAAAATCTAAAATAATTAAAAAAAAGGCGAGTGTTCTCTCTTTCTGTCCATATATACCCAAACCATATCCTCTGTTTTTCATCACTCCCATCTCTCCCGACTCCCAACCCAAACTCTCCACCTCACTCTCTCCCCCATCTCTCATCCTCCGCCAGCAACTTCCCCTCTTTAATTTCAAGTCCCCAAAAGCTCAAAACACCAGCATCAGCAAGATGACGAAAGAAGTAGTTGGCGAAGGAGGTTCCTTCACGGCGAAGGACTACCACGACCCACCGCCGGCTCCCCTCATCGACGCGGCGGAGCTCGGCCAGTGGTCCTTCTACAGAGCCCTAATCGCCGAGTTCATCGCCACCCTCCTCTTCCTCTACATCACCGTCCTCACCGTCATCGGCTACAAGAGCCAGGTCGACCCCAACAAGCCCGGCGTCGTCGACCCCTGCGGCGGCGTCGGCATCCTCGGCATCGCCTGGGCCTTCGGCGGCATGATATTTGTCCTCGTCTACTGCACCGCCGGCATCTCCGGTACCCTTTCCCCTTCCTATTCTGTCTCAGCACGCGAATGTTAATTGTCAGTTATTACTTACTTAATTAATTAATCCTCTAAATGGCGGCATTATTACTTTATCATTGACGGGGGAAAAAGGACTCTTCCCTTTCCTTAGCTTTATTAGATTGCCGTTTCTGATATAGCACGTATAATGTGGGAAGTCTCCGAGGGTTTCTCAATTTGAGGAAATTCAGAAATTGGGGATTTTGGTCCTCGAATCTCGAGTGGCGGAAAAAAATTGATTCGCTAGGACCAAAATTGGAACTTCCCCTGTTGGGAGAATCGATCTAATTCTGCTGGGTTCTAATCTAGAGTTGGGAACTTCGATAAAAATGGAGGCAAGTTACTGAATCTCCGGTTGTTTCGAATTTTGCAGGCGGCCACATCAACCCGGCGGTGACGTTCGGGCTGTTTCTGGCGAGGAAGGTGTCGCTGATAAGGGCGGTGATGTACATGGTGGCTCAATGCCTGGGAGCCATTTGCGGTGTTGGGTTGGTGAAGGCGTTCCAGAAGTCTTACTACACCAGGTACGGCGGCGGGGCCAACTCTCTGAACGACGGCTACAGCACCGGCACCGGATTGGGCGCGGAGATCATCGGAACTTTCGTGTTGGTTTACACCGTCTTCTCCGCCACCGACCCCAAGAGGAACGCTCGCGACTCCCATATCCCTGTAAGCACTAATCGCTCTTTCAGAATTGCCCTCAATTTCTAGCGAATTTGTTTGTTTCCATTTGGCTAGAATGTAACCGTAGTGGTAGGCGTAGTCCTCCTGCCTATATTTTCTGCCATTGAAGTCGGTCAGGTCAATCTTTGCGTGGTTTGGCACATTTAGTTTGTCTAATATTAATTTCAAGGGCAATGTCTATTTTTTACCCAAACCTTTTTCAGATTCTTTTATTTTAACCAAATCTATTGAATTCCTAAAAATTATCCAAACGTTAACTCTCCGTCAACTTTTCTGTTAGTAATGCTGACTAAGTATGACCATAATGAGTTGACTTCCTACGTGGCGGTCAGAATACCATCATTTACTATTTTTAATAAAAAGATTATCAAAAAACAAAACAAAATCCCACCTCTCACGTGGACGAAATAAGTAACGGTAACAGAATTAATGCCCAGACTTTGATAAATTATAATACGTTTGGATAATAAATAGAATTTTTATAGGTTTGGTTAAAATAAAAGAATCTGAAAAAGATTTGGGTAAAAAATAGACATTGCCCTAATTTCAATGTGTTAATTTATATTAAATATTGTGTTTCTTAAAGCGTCTTAATTATTGATATAGTATAGTTTAATTTTGTTTAAAATGATAGTAAGTTTAGCGAATTAACCACATGTGCAACCGGGCTATCTGTGAAAACGTCGAGATGAATCATGACTAATGATGAGTCATGAACCAGATGATTCGCTACAAAATTACCCTCAATTACACCACTGTTCTATAATTGCAACAGTAAAGTTGTTGTACCTACTTTTGTTTGTTCGTTCATTTTCTTAAGGTTAACTACACTTGTATATCCAAAACTTTCACGGTTGTGCCAATAATATACAAATTTCCCGAAATACCACTTATATCCAATTCCTTCACATTCTTTAACGGTGTTTTTGGATATACAAGTGTATTAAACCTTTTCTTAATGTGAAAACTGTTTCTTTTTGGGTAGTGAAAACTTGGTTAGTAGTTGGGGGGAGTGCAGCGAATCTTCTAGCTAGGTAAAGGAGGGAGGTTCAGTGTATAGGATGTTCCTATTATGTTATGTGATTCAATTCTCCACTTTTTCTCCATAACTCTTGAACAGTGAAAACTGTGGAGAATAGAATCCCCTGTTTGTTTTCTTCCACACTTTTCCACATTCACGGAAGGGCAACGGGCCCTTCCTCCATTAATTAATTGCTAAACTGGACAGTAGCTTTCGTCTTGGTTTGTCTTTGGTGTCGTCGTGTTCAACCGTCATTTGTGTTTGCTTTGTGACGTTTTGGAGCTTTCAAGGCATGTGAATTTAAGTTTCAGATCGCACTGTTTATAGAGTTGACAAATTTGTTCTACACCTCTCACATGGAAACAGTACGTAGCATGTATTTGGTCTGTTGGTATGCTGTTCATTTAAGCTTGTTTAATGGTGGCGGTTTCTGGTACGTTTGGCCAAATTTGGTAGGTATTGGCACCACTCCCCATTGGATTCGCCGTATTCATGGTTCATCTGGCTACCATTCCCATCACCGGCACCGGAATCAACCCGGCCAGGAGCTTCGGAGCTGCTGTCATCTTCAACGAAGAGAAGCCCTGGGATGACCATGTATGTAGTAAAGCAAATATTTAAACACCATTCTCTCTGTTTCCGGGCTTATCATTTGAATCACTGTGATTACTGTTCTGAATTGTTCTGTTCGATTTTGGCAGTGGATCTTCTGGGTGGGACCCTTCATCGGAGCTGCTCTCGCGGCTTTCTTCCACCAGTTCATCTTGAGAGCCGGAGCTGTGAAGGCTCTTGGGTCGTTCAGGAGCAGCGCCAGTGCTGTGTAGAGCGATCGGATCTCCCCACAGCTTACTTTTTTCTGCTCGGAGTGGAATAATGAGTGGTGCAGAGTGCCATTGCTTGTGCTTCAGAGAGTTGAGGAGTGGTGTGTGGACTGTTGGATCGATGAAATTAAGATGGTGTGGACCGAGAAAGGAGTTATAGTAGTTGGAGCTCTTTTTATTCTTGTCGGTTTGCTCTTCTTCTTTTTCAGTGCTAGAGGATGGATTGCCACAGCGTCTTTAATTTATTTGATCTTGAACTCTGTGGGCTATATAGCTTGCCTGCGTGTATTCGCTCTCAAAAGAACTTGGTGGAAATGTATTCCTTCTTCTACTTCAGGGCCCTGTCTTGCTCTTCAGTTCGCACCTCTTTAGTGCAAGTATCGGCCTACTGCGAGTTTCTTGCCAAATTGTCACACAACTTATTACTTATCCATTATCGACCACTGGATTTTGAAACTGATGTTTGCTAGATGGATTTGTGAATGGTGGTATATAAGCTGCTGCAAACAGAACACAGACCAAAAGCGACAAGTCATATTATTGTAACGTGCTTGGAATACTTCAAATATGGAACCATTGTGAAGGCCACAAAGTAAAGGACAAGAGAAACAAGTGCACGTTAATCTGTTCTGAGGTCTTTGTATTATAGATTTGAAGTGAATCAGAAAGGAAAAAAAGGCGCATGCTCCTCCGCCCACAAGTTGGTACTATTTCTCCTTTTCCCCGTTGATAGAAGTGTGCGACCCACTCTGCTTCAATATTTTTTCAACTCAGCTATCAGCCCTCTATTTATGTAAGGTTTTTAGTTAATTTAGGATGCTCGTAACCAGACTAACGAGATCGAGTTAATGATGGTTGTCGTTAGGGGTGATAAACGGTTAGTCGGTTATCGGTTTTAACCGATAACCGAACCGATAAAGTCGGTTAGTGGTTAACCGATAACCGCTACTTCCTTATTGGTTTCGGTTTCGGTTAGTAGTATTTTGGTTAGTGGTTAACCGCTAACCGACTAATCGGTTAGCGGTTAACCGATAAGAAAACCGATAACCGCCTACTAGTGTGACTGTATGGTTTTTTACTTTGGCTAAAGGAAAAAGTTGTAAGATTCAAAACCAATCAAAGTCGCAATTCCAAACATCCCAATTCTCACCTATTGCAAACAACCATCCATCAAGAGTCTTGAATGTTTTTAAGAGTTAGAACGCGAAAGTCACCCCTCTCTAACTCCCCTTTGCACTCGATAGAGTGAACCTTAGGTTGATGACTATGGGCTAGATGAAGATCTTGGAGTAAATGATGACTATGTGCTAGATGAATTGGAGCGAGATCCTCGGATCATTTAGGTTGATGATTTGGAGATAATGAACTTGTTATTTGTGTCTAGTTGTGATTGTGACTTGTGGTTGAATTGTGGGCATGTAGACTTTATGTTGTGGAGTTGTGGTTGAATTGTGTGGTTTCTTTAGGCTTTATGTTCAATTGATTTAGATGACTTTATGGTGTGTGATTATAGAGGCTGAAACAAAAGCAGGTCACTCAAAATTGAGGGTGAATCATTAAAAAAGGTGGTTGAAATTCGGTTTTGGGTGTCGGTTTCTGAACGAAAACCGAGAAAGTGAACCAGAACCTGCGGTTTCGGTTAACCGCAATGGAAAACCGAAACCGATGTTTGCGGTTTTCGGTTAACCGAAGTCTCTGTCGGTTTCGGTTTCGGTTAGCGATCTTGGGACAATTTTGATTGCGATTAACCGATATTTCGGTGCGGTTAAACCGAAACCGCACCGACTAACACCCCTAGTTGTCGTCATTCATCTATATTTTATCGTTAAATACTACCTTACCAATTTAGCATACGAAATACGATAGAAGATTTTGTTGATCGAATCATCAGTACAATACAGTTTTTAATCCTTCCTTTTCTTTCTTCGAGGCACCAAGCAACGAGGGGCATTTGTCTACGTAAACTTTACTATGTGTACGATAAGGCTGTCCACAACCCTGGGACTAAAATGCCAAAATGTCCTTTTAGTCCCAATAAAGCATCTTCAACCAAGGGGCAAATTGGGGGGGGGGGGGGGGGGTTAAAGGCTATAAGGGGGGTTTAGGGGGCTATTTTAGCTCTTATTTGGGGGGGGGGGGGAGTTAAGAGGAGCTAAAATGGTGGGGATGATTTTCTTTTCTTTGTTTTAGTACTTAAATGAAATATACTTGTGTTGTTGTCAGTGCTTTTAACTAACAAAGTTCTTTTCGTTGTAACTTTCAACCATTTGATTGTTATTTGAAAACAAAAAAATATATTAAAAAATTGTAACGTTCTTCCATTTCATCTAAAAAAAAGGTATCTCTGAAATTGTTCAAAATCTTGATAATTTTGATGAACGAAGTTCATCTCGGTGCAACTTTCTTCCATTTCAACTAAAAACAAAGTATCTCAGATTTTGTTCAAATTTTATAGGAATGTTAGTACTTCAACCCAGTTACAGAGTTGAAAAGTAGAAAGCTCCGTTGAATATGCCAGAAAGCTAAACGAAGAACCAAGACAACCTTAATTATCGTGAATAAATATATAAATTTTAAAATAAAAAACATAAGTTAACTATTTATAAGTTATGATTACTAAATGCGAAACATAAACTTTTAGCCATCAGAGTTGCAGCTGTTTCTGTTTTCGTGAGGACTAAAAAGCTAAAATAGCCTCAAACCTTCAATTTCTAGCCCCCTCGGGTTGTGGTTAGCCTAAGGAACTAGCTAGGAAGTAGTGTGACTGCTAGCCGCTAGGCGTTTCAACAAAAGCACCTGCCATTCACTTCCAGCTTTATGGGCCTTTTCTATTAAGCCCGCTATCTTTTATTCCTCCTTTACTAAGCCCACTAACTACTAGATACAAAACAGATAGCCCAGCCCACTCACAGACACCCCCCTCCGTCTCGTATCCTCTTCCGCAAACAGCCTCCGTCTCGACACAACTCTCACATCAGCTATCTGCTCTCCTCAATCTCCCAGGTCAGCCATATACCGCCACTGCTTCCCCGTTGTGATACTCAAACCCTTGGTTCCAGCCGGCCACGCGTGGTCGGATTTGTCCGCCGAGCGCTGTTAATCAGGAAGCGTGGGTACTGGTTGATTGATTACCCTAAGGAATTTGCTTGGGAGACATTGAATTTGAGGTAATTTGATTTATCAGATTCGTCTTCTTTTAGGGTTCGATATGCTTCTCTCGAATGTTCTCTTCCCTTGGGTATTGACTATTGAACGCGTAGATATGGATATCGGTGATACGTGAGCAGTACATGTGAAAAGCGTAGAATTACGGAAGTTTAGTTGGAGATGTATGCTTGCTTTCACATGTACATGTAAAAGTACCAGAAGGAGATGTATGCTTGCTTTCACATGTACATGTAAAAGTACCAGAAGGAGATGTAAAACCTGGGAAAGGAACCCAACTAAACTTACGAGTTCTCTGTTTTCCCCCTCGAAGGCAGGCTTGATTTGATTTGGTTGCTCTGGTTTTCTTTGTATAGAAAGCAAGCATACATCTCCTTCTGGTACTTTTATGTTATGCTCCTTTTAGTCCTTTCCAATAAGTGTGACCATATTTTTGCTTATTTTGCTGCTTTTGTGAACCCTGAATGAAAATCCATAACCTATCTTTGCTGGGGTTCAACCGATCGGATGAACGGTAAAGTTTCTGCCTAGTAATTAGTCATTCTTTGGTAGGGGAGATGGTTAATTAAGCTTTCTGAACTCAGGGCATCCACATATGTCAGATACATATGAATTCTATTGCATGCAATTTTCTTTTTTTGAATGTTCCCAATGGGATCAGTCGATTAACAGAATCTAGTTCCTAGTTGGATACCAATACTTGTCATACGATGAGGGTTCCTAGGTAAAATTCATCACTGAGCCATTGACTTCATACGAGTTCCCCTTTATCTATCCTGTGTTGATCTTCCTCTTGTAAATGAAATCTTTAACCATTCACCTTGTACAAAGTTTGACTGGCTGTGAGTTAACGAATTAGTCTTGGAAGAACCAATGAAAGGACTAGTAGCAGCGTAAACTCAAATACTTTTATGTCTTGGATTGTGGATATGAGCTGGCATTGATGATTCTGTGATCCTTGGTTGTCATTTCGTTATATGCTAGTGTTGGTATTTAAATGCATTTCCTAGCATATGGGTGAATTTCTCTTATTATGCGTAGCAAGTGTTCATGACATTAGTGTATGCATTCCTTTGAAAATCTATTTGAGGAGAATTGGATTCAGCTGGAGGATCAAATAAGGTTGATCTCCTCAAAATACAACTTTATGTTCATAGTTTAAAAGAATAGGTAGTTTGCTGTTAACCTTTAACCTTTAGTGGGAACTGCACTAGTCCGTTTTAGATGCAATTACTTTAGTGTTATTGTCTTTAGACTTCTAGTCATTCTGTTTGTCTCGCTAAATGGAGTTTCTTCTTCGATTGGATGCTGTTTTTGAATTACTTTCTGTACATGCGCTTCATTGGAACTATTGGATATATTTTTATAATCGTTGCAAGTTGCAACACTTTGAACACTTCTCTGATGGGGTTCTTCTCTCTCTTGCAGAGTTAAGTTAGAAAATGGCACATAGATTACTGCGAGATGTTGAAGCTGATGGATGGGAACGTTCAGACTTCCCTATAATCTGTGAGTCTTGTCTTGGGGACAACCCGTATGTCCGAATGGTATGATGCTTCTTTACTTCAACATTAACGTAGTTTCTGTATTTTATTTTTATTGTTATGCTGTAAAATCATTTTATCTAAACCCTTGTTTATGGTTGGGTACTGATGTGCAGACAAAAGCTCAATTTGATAAAGAGTGCAAGATATGTACTCGTCCATTCACAGTTTTTAGGTGGAGGCCTGGCCGTGATGCAAGATATAAAAAAACTGAGATTTGCCAGACATGCTGCAAGTTGAAAAATGTCTGTCAAGTCTGCCTTCTGGATCTGGAGTATGGCTTGCCTGTGCAGGTTCGGGATACTGCCCTGAGCATCAATGCAAATGACTCTATTCCAAAGAGTGATGTAAACAGGGAGTTTTTTGCTGAGGAGCACGATCGCAAGGTAAATTTTGTTGCTCAAAACTTATTAATTTTAGATGTTTGAAGCTGAGTCTGTTTGCAGTACTGCATCATAATCTTCAATCGCACTGGTCTTTTTTCTATGATAAAGATGTGCCTTTTTTAATTTTAATTGTGTTAATTTTGTATGCCTTTATGAAATATGAGTCTTTTGTTTTTGTCTTGGTATCATCTATATTTTGCATCTCAAGTTATTAGCACAATGTGGCTGAACCAATTGCATTATTCTAACTTGTGTTGATATAAATTGTCGCAGGCCAGAGCTGGGATTGATTATGAATCTTCTTACGGGAAGGTTAGGCCAAATGACACTATTATGAAGCTTCAAAGAACTTCACCGTACTACAAAAGAAACCGAGCGCATGTGTGCAGTTTCTTCATCAGGGGTGAGTGCACACGTGGTGCCGAATGTCCTTACAGGCACGAAATGCCTGTAACTGGGGAGTTATCGCAGCAAAATATAAAAGATCGTTACTATGGGTAAGTACAGTTTCTTGCTGTGGGGATCTGTGTTTCAAAGTAAACTGGTCCCCGTGAGCAGCTATTTTGTCTCTTTACTTCCGTAGTATGTATTGCAGTACTGGTATTCTTATCAGCTTATGCATTGGATCTCTACGCTGTTCTTATTATGTTTTTTCTATTATGTTTTCAGAGTTAATGATCCAGTGGCAATGAAACTACTTAACAAGGCTGGTGAAATGCCGTCACTGGAACCCCCCGAGGACGAAAGCATTAGAACTCTGTACGTTGGGGGTCTTGATGCCAGGATAACCGAGCAGGATCTAAGAGACAATTTCTATGCACACGGCGAGATTGAATCCGTAAAGATGGTGACTCAAAGAGCGATTGCCTTTGTGACATACACATCTAGAGAAGGAGCGGAGAAGGCTGCGGAAGAACTGTCGAACAAACTAGTAATCAAGGGTCTGAGGCTGAAGCTCATGTGGGGAAGACCTCAGGCACCAAAACAGGATCATGAAATCTCAGAGGAAGCAAGGCAACAGGCCCTCATGGCTCACGGCGGGATGCTTCCCCGTGCTTTGGTATCCCAACAACAGAACCACCCGCCTGGTACTGCTGCTCCAGATCAGCCGCCTCAACCGATGCAGTACTTCAACATTCCACTTCCTCCACAGCAGCAAGAAAGAGCGTTCTACCCATCCATGGATCCCCAGAGAATGGGTGCTGTAATTCCGTCTCAGGATGGAGGCGCTTCAAGTAGTTCAGCAGGTGAGAACAAACCCGGTGGAGAGCAGCAACTGCAACCTCATCATCATTACCCTTATCAGGGAAGGGCTCGACCTCCGCCTCCTCATGCCCCACACGGGCAGTTCCACCAGCAACACCATTATCCACCTCCTCCGTACGGGTACATGCAGCCGCCGCCACAACAGTATCAGCAGTATCCTCCGGCAGCAGGATATCCGTCAGGAATGCCTCCACCACCGCAGCAGCCAAGCCAGCAATACCAACATTTTCCGGCTCCACCACCTCCAAGGCCCGCTGCAGCTCCAGAGTCATCGTCGTCATCAAGTGCACCTGCTCCACAATCAAATCAGTGAAAGGTTTGGGTCAAATTATGGATATGTGTCAAAGCTGGAAGCCGTCTCTTGCTCTGATTGTGTTGTTATTTTACAGTCTGGATGTGAAAGTTTAGAAATGAAGGAAACCTAGACTAAACATGCTAAACAGGAACGATGGGGAAGGCTGTGGACGGTGTTGTGATTCACGATTTTTGCCTTTATATGCTGCCTTCGTCTGTGTTTACGGTAACGATTGATTTGAGATGCACACGATAATGTGTTTTCTTTATTCAGATAAGAAGAAACGAGCCACGCATACACAAAACAGAACAGGAAATTAGAAAGAAACAACATACAACCAATAAGCTGCAAAACTCATGGTCGTAGTACGTCGTCTCTGGGGCATGCGTGGTCCCGAGTACAGACTCTCCTCTTATTATTACAGTTACTTTTATCATACTCGTAAGCATGTATGATTATTCATGGTAAAAGGGTTCGATGACGAACTCAAAACCAGGCGGCTTGTCGACGGCCGAACTGGCAGCTGGTGGGCTCGGTCCTGCACTGTCCGGGGAGCGACTCCGCCACGCGCCAGGCGGACTGCCTGTCCTGCTCGCGCATCTGGCTGCGCGGGATCTGCTGGATGGCCTGCTCCAGCCCCTGGCAGGTGCACTGCCTGTCCAGCTGCCTCAGCTGCTGGCAGCAGTCCTCGAAGTGCTCCTGTCCCTGCTGGTGCGGGTTGATGGCGAATTCGTCGTAAACGTCGTCTCGGCGTCCGCCACCTCCCCCCTGCCTCTGGGCCTGCTGGATGATGTGCTGCTGGCAGTGCCACAGGTTCTGTTGCTGCTCGATCTGCTCCCTGCATTCCCCGCCCTGGCCGTGTTGTCCCCCCTTACCGCGCTGGTTGGAGAAGTCGTCGTCGATGATGACGGTGGTGCGGATGGTGGCCTCGGCGGCCACCAGGAAGAGGAGGAAAGCCGCCGCTGCGAGAGTAGGACTCAGCCTTGCCATTGTGAGAAACTGTTTGTTTGGATTGGATGAGAGTCGATTGCTGTGGGTGTAAGCGGCGGTGGGTTTTCGCGGAGGAGGTTTGGTGGGGTTTATATAGTGGAGATGAGGGGTTTGCATGTGGAGTACGTGTTGGTGGAGGTGGGAGTAGGTTTGTGGATTATGGACGACACGTTGGTTTTTGTGGGATTACACGTATTGGTGTACATGCATATGCGGCCATGTTTGTTGAAATGAATTGTACAGTGGGTAGCTGGGATGGGTGCCAAATTGAAGTGGATTTTAGCAGTGTACATTTTTTATCGTGACAAGTGGTCAACAATTCATATATTGCAGATGAGGCATCGATGACCATGGTGGTGGTGGCCTCGGTGGTTGGTTGCCACCTGGAGGAGCAAATTAGCTTCCGCTTCTATAGATTCAGAGAAGGTTATTCAGCATTGTCAATAATTAGTTGATTCCATTAAACTTGAAATAATTCAGCATTGTCAAATTAGCTTCCGCTTCTATAAACCATTTATTATAATTGATTTCGTCTGCTCGAACGAAAATTAACTTAGGAAAAGCTTGAAAGATTCACAGATCCGAATACTATACTATGAACGGAACAACTTGTTGAGTTATCGAGATTCAAACAGATGTCAAAGGTTTTGATAGAATTCAGTTGACTAACCCAATTATAGAGAGCCGGCACTCCCTGGGTGGGTTGTGAAAAATATTTCAGAAGGTTCTGTCAATCTAGGATCAATTATGTTCTCATCATCGATACTGATAAAATTATACTTCTTTTACACATACAGTACTTCCATTAAAACAACTATCCATCCTGATTAAAATATCCAATACATCTTATGAAATTTATTAAATTGATCATTTAATAACAAGTTCAAATACTACTTAAAAGAGATATTGATGAGTTGGAAAAGAAAAAAAGGAAACAAACACATAAATTGTATCGATATGTTGGCGGAACAGAACATTCAATATCGAAATATCATTTTGAACGGTCATTTGGTCTAAATCTTGACCTTGAGTGTGTTCTACAATGAACTACTATTTTATAACTATAATTATGTTAAAAAGTATTCTATTGTTAGACTATTTATTTCGACGGGACGTCCAACTCATCATTCATTCGATAGCATAACAAGTCTGGTTGCAGCCAATGTGGAGCTCAGTCTGAGGGGTTCTACATACTTTTCGTTGATAATTAATTTTGCTTTAGTTAAATAGTGAACACTAGGGTAGATAAATATGGGGAAATCAGCCGGAATTAATTCGAAACAACACACGATAGTGTGTTTTCTTTATTATTATCATTATTCAATAACAAAAACAAGGGAGAGCCCCATACGTTACATACAAAGTAAACCGAACTCTGCTTCGAACTATTTTGTCCTTCTTATTCTGATTTCTAGGCGCCATCGTTGTCGTCGTCGTGCTTAGGAAGATGATAGTTTTGGGTTCAGTCTAAAACCAGGCTGGAATCTGCTGGCGGCGGCCGCGGAACTGGCAGGAGCTGGGGGAAGCGTCGCACTTGCCGGGGAGGTTCTCGGCCATGCGCCACATGGTCTGCATCTCCTGCTGCTCCATCTGGCCGGGCATCTTCCTCATCATCTCGTGCATCGCCATCTCCAGCCCCTGGCACGTGCACTGCGACCCCATCTGCCTCAGGTCCTGGCAGCACTGCTCCTTCATCATCGGGTTCGCGGTGGCCACCACCATCTCGACTCCTCGCTGCTCGCGCATCATCTCCATCATGTACTCCTGGCAGTTCCTCAGGTTGTCGAACCGCTGCATCTCCTGGCTGCAGTCCCCGCCGCCGGTGCCCTTCCCGCCGCGCTGGTTCGAGGCATCGACGTCCTCGTCGACGATCACGGTGGTGCGGATCGTGGCCTCGGTGGCCACCAGGAAGAGGAGGAATGCTGCAACTGCGAGGCTCAGTTTTGCCATTTTGTGACGGAAGGTGGTTAATTATATTAGTTGGCTGATATGATTGGATGAGATGGAGTGAAGTGTTTTAAGGCGCGGTGGATGGTTTATTATATAGTGGAGGTGATGGGTTTGCATGAGGAGTACGTGTCGGTAGAGGTCAGAGCTAGGGTTGTGAAAGTTGGAAGATGGGCGACACGTTGGTTTTTGTGGGTTTACACGTATTGCTAAGCCATGCAAACGCGGCCAAGTTTCTGTGATGACATGGACAGTAGGGCTGGGGTTTTTTTTTTATATATATTATTTCCCTCTTGGCTGTGTAAGTGTCCAAACCCACAAAGGCAAAAGGCAGTCATTGTAATTGTATAGAAGCTCCACTTTCTAAAACATATTGATTGTGATTTGCAAGATGTACAATATCAGTTTTTATATATTTTGAGAAAATATTTTACAAATTTTATTTTTATAAGAGGGATATAGGTTTAATTTTATTGTTTAAGTATTATTTAGTGAAGGTTCAAGACTAATGATATTATCCCTAGATCAAACCATTATTCGTGTCATTTTATAATTCTTATAAAATTATTTATAAGAGGAGTAAGATAGAATGTTAGAACGTCAATTTTTTCCTCTTCCAAAATATAACAAAATGAATTCATATGGCCGAAGATTATTAATCCATTATTTTTACGGGAAAAAAGAATGCAAAATAAAACGAATGGATGTAAGTTAAAATTTGATCAATGAACGGGTATAAATTTCGGATCCAATTAGTACCGGGGGAAAATGATTTCACGTCCATTTTGTGTTATAAAATGGTGATCCTTTCCCAGCATATTTTAATATATATTCCTACCTAATCTGAGCTGTAACCCGGATTCTTTGATCTACTTCTACTATCCTCTAATCAACGAAGCTTTACTGTTGAGTGTTGACTTTCACGCATTACCGAGTATTTAATCAGTTGTCTCTTGTAATTAATGTTCCTTTCTTCTGAGCTTGATGTACATATATATATATTCTACCATTTCTTACTGACTCTTTGATTTTGGGCAGCTAGGTTTCTCCGTCACCAGTTACCTCCTGTTTCACCAGCAAGTCAAAGTGCAAGCATTATCGAAGGTTGAACCACCGCCACCTAAACATCTCATTTTAAAACAGACAACCAAGCCAATCGGTTAAGTTGCTTACCAGATATATATATATATAAGTCTGTCATAAACCAGTTGGTCCCAATAACTCGAGTTGTTGGGAGAAGGTTATGTTGGATCTTATACAGGCCCGTGTATGGTGCTTAACCACTTCCTTACACGCCCCCTCAAACGAAAGCCGACTCATGGGCTTGAAATTTGCACAGGCCCACCATACCATGTGCTTGAAAGACAAAGATTAATATTGGGGGTCGTGAGGACTTGAACACGTGACCTCAAGGACAAACCAGCTCTGATACCATGTCAAGAACCAGTTGCTCCCAATAACTCGAGTTGTTGGAAGAAGGTTATGTTGGATCTTATACAGGCCCGTGTATGGTGCTTAACCACTTCCTTACAAAGTCGTGCATGATAGCGTTGTTATAACATGTTTAATGATTGATGTGAAAAATTAAGAAAACATACTTTTTGAAGGGGGGAAAAAACTAATATTGAACCGGATGAATTTTTGTATGGGAATTGTTGATAGATAATGGGTTCCACTAACTAGCAACTAAATCGTTTCATAAATTAGGAATGAAACATACATATACATGATCAAATATTAGGGAATAATGAAGTATACAAAACAAAAGAAAATAAGACTCGTGACCCCCATGCTCCTCCGCAAGAAGCGAGTTGAGACAAACTAGCTAGAAATCAAATCGAAATTATCATGATGAGTTTGGATGGAGTTTATATATAGGGTGAAAGAAAATCATGATGCATATTGTTGGCTTTGTGCAAGGTTGTATCAACCTGGTTTAAATCGTTAAACCGGTTTCGCAAGTGGTATGTTCATATATACTGTGGTACCTCTAATTTACAATGCATATATATATATATAGCGGCGGATCTAGGATTGGGTAGAGCACTGGGCCACATTGGAAAAAAGCAGAGAAGGCTGGGCCGTAACACGACGAACACTGGAACGAACACCTAAACGAACACCAAAAATCAAAAATTTACACGTGCTATACTAGTTCTGGATCGAGGGAGGGCTGGGCCGCGGCCCGGGGGCGGCCCCCCTATATATATATATATGTTTAATATGCCTTAAAACAAATTGCACCCCGATTGTACCACCAACGGTATCAGTACCTTGACAACGATGAATTTTGTGGTGAGCCCCACGAATTCGATTTTATGAGCTGGCGGTAATACGTACGTACCAGTTATATTAACAACACCGGCCTGGTAGCTGTGACAAGACGACGCCATATCAGTCCAAATCATCCCATCAATGGCTTCGAGCTAAAGCCCAACTAATCAAGGTCCCCGCCGGTCCGGGGAAGAGAAGATATGGGCCGTGGGGACTAAACGTACTATTACTAATCATTAAACTTTCCCACAATCTGTTGAAGAAGGAATCCTTGTCTCACAAGGATTAGGAAGCGCGCCAATGGAAGCTGTTCAAATTACTACTGCTGCAAGTTTGAGCAATACTGCGTCGTTTGCTTTATTACCATGCTGGTCCTTTACTTTGTGTTTTGTTATTTTTAGTCCAGTCAAGAGTTGTTAGTCTGTTGAGAGTCTTCTGCGAGTAAGGTTGTTAGCTGGTTTGTGTTTAGCTTGATTCTCGGTTAGTGAACGTTGGGAGCAACCAATCTTGTGGTTTGCACTGACAAGTATAAGTATTTGGCTTTCATTCAATAAAAGACTCGTCAGATTGCAATTTACAGTGTTCTACATTTGGTATCAGAGCATTAGCAAGCTGTAACCATTGTTGCTTTCAAGCAAAGATTCTGAGTGATTGATTAAGGAAAGTGAGAGTGCAGTGCAAGATCTGGGTTTGGGAAACACGAGAGTTCTCTGGTGAGGTGTTTTAAGGGTGTGTGATTTCTGAGTGCTGTAAGTTGTGTGTGATCTGTAAAACATGAGTGATAACAATGGCTTTGCTCAAGTGGGGTTGCCAAAGTTTGATGGTGATTTCGATCACTGGAGCCTGCTTATGGAAAATCTCCTACGATCCAAGGAGTATTGGTCAGTGGTCAGTGAGGGAATCCCTGAGCATCCTGCTGGGGTTCAACTGTCTGCTGTGGAATCCAAGAACCTGGATGAACTCAGGCTGAAAGATCTCAAGGCCAAAAATTACTTGTTCAGCTCCATCGACAAGTCCATCCTGAAGACAATCACAAACAAAGCTACCTCCAAACAACTCTGGGATGCTATGAAGACAAAATACCAAGGGAGTGCTCGTGTCCAGAAGGCTCAGTTGCAGGCTTTAAGGAGAACTTTTGAAGTTCTTGAAATGAAGGAGGGTGAGTCTATTTCTGCCTACTTCAGTCGTGTTATGGTAGTGGCTAATGACATG